TGTCTTTGTGTGTGCGTGTTCGTCTGTGTGTGCGTGTGTGTGTGTTCGTGTGTGTCCCTGTTTGTTTATTTTTGGGGGAATTTGAGGACACGTGTTACACATTCAGATAAAGCCGCTGCCGTTCCGTGCACGGGCGAGAGGCTGGGAATTGGTTCCGTCGGCATCACTGGCACAGAGAACGCGGAACAAATGCTGATAAATCCACACGGGAGTCCGTGGAGTCTTTTCCACTCTCGCGTGCGAGAGCAGCAGCAGCAGCAATGCGGTTCAGGAGCCAAATGACAATATCGAGGACTGCTTGCCCCGAAGAGAGGGCTTTCGGAGCGAGAGAGAGAGAGAGTTCGTGTCGTTTATCTATTCCTCCCCCGTTGAAGGATCGCAAACTCACAGTGGTTGGTACTGCACGGTTCATGGCACGTGGATCTCGGGATGCGCACTCAGAGCAGAGATGACACAGATGTCGACACAGTCGGAAGAAGCGAGTGGGGCTTGAATGGGACGCGTCATCATCATCATCAAGCATCGCTGGACGATGTCCCGTGGACGAGACTGGCGACGGAACGGCAGCCAAAGGAGGGAGGATGGGGGTGGGGTGGGAACCCGTCCACGAGGACCACCACCGCGGAGACGGAGCGATGAGATCGGTTCAGGAGATGGATGGCAGCGGCAGCAGCGGGCCGCGAGGGGTGACGGTGGCGTGGGGAGGCATCCATCCAGCAGTGAATAGAGCGTAGATGCTGCTGGTTGTCGTGGTGGTGGTGGGGTGTTGGGTAGGTGCCGTGTAGTGCGGGTTTCGAGATTTCGGTGCCCCCCCTCCCCACGCTCGCCCCGCCGCGTGATGGATGACGACGACAACGAGATACGAGATTCCACACTCCCTCCCTCCCACCATCAATACACATTCCACAAAATCTCCCAAACGCGGTGGGAGTCGCTCAAATTGTCGAGGCAAAATGGGAAAATAATAAAACTCCGATAATTGGTTTTCAGTCGCTGGCTCGACCGTGTCGCGCCGATGTTGTTACCGCGTTTATTTCCACTCGGGGAATTTTGTCCCAGCAGACGGAGAGTAACAAAAAAATAACAACAGCAGCAGCAGCAGCAATATCGCGGCACCAGCGCTAAATCGAGCGTTGTGTATTCCAGAAACGCGCAGCCGTTCAGCAGAGCGTCGCGCAGATTTGTGTCGGGTTTTACAGATGAACGCCACGCGCCCCACGGGGTTCATCTGCATACTTTGCCGGGACCGCTGCTGGCACACAATTTGACCCCAACGCACGCGACCTGCCCATTGGTCGGCGGCGGTCAACCCAGTTGGACTACTGCGTGGAAGTTGGTTGGGGGGGGGGCGGTGGGAGGATTCGGATTTTAGAAAGTCGCCGATACCGTTTCAGCTTCTGGCGCCCGGAGATGGGATCGAACCGGTGCCCCTCTGGATTGCAAGTCCGACGGTGCTAACCATTGTACCACCGATGGAAGCTCGCTGTGATGAAGAGTCGAACGATTTGCACCGAGGTCATCGTTTTAACACGAATAATGCAAACAAAATTCAACAACGTCGCCTTCAGTAACTGCTGTTGTTTTAATTAAACCCCTTCAGTTTTGCTGATACGGCGTAGATTAACCCTCCCGGGTGGGGCCGCATACATTTCAACCGCACCACCGCTTCGTAATTGCCTCCGCCCCGAAGATGAGCTCACTGCTGCTGCTGCTATCCCAGAGCTATCGCTCCAGACAGGGTCCGGGACAGGGCCCGGTTGTTCGCACGGCCCCAGGGCCTCCGTGTGTCAGACCCCTCAGCATCACCGGGGTGCCGTGCTGATGAACGCGCGGAACGAGAAGCCCTCGCAAAGGCGGGCTCCGTTCGCTTGGTCTTGACATCATCGTGTTGCGCGGCGGTCACGGGGTGGCTCAGCGGTAGCGCGCTCGCCGCTCGTTGCAGAGGTTCCCGGTTGGAATCCGGCAGGTACACCCTGGTCAATGAACCGTAACGATAACAGGACGCGCGGTCTGTGCTTTGCGCAGTGCACGTAAAAGATCCCCATGGCGTCGTTCGCAAAAGTGGGCGTTAAGGGTGCGCATTTGGCAAATTAGCAAAACACTCTTACACCGCAAATTTCTCAATTGGGAAACACATAGCAATCATCGCCCCCCTACTGGCAGACTCATGCCCGATAGCAGGTCTAAATAAGCCTGTGCCGCACAGAGACAGCTGCCACTTGGGGTGCCCTTTTAAGTGTTGAGATGACGTGACGATTTAGGATCGATCTGCAACAATTACTTCTCTTTCGGATCAATCCGAAGTTCCGTGTCTCGGACCGGTTTTCGGATAAAATATTTTTGGGATGAGTCCAAGAATGGGTAAAATAACCCCGAATGGCAACAACGTTGTGCTCATTCGACAGTTTGTTATTCTGTGGATTACCTTTTCACTGCCATGGGGACGTGGAATTTCCACCGATTGCTAGGAGACCGCCCGTTGTCGCATTGCGACTTCCGGCCGGCGTGGAGACGCGCGTGCTGTTAATTCACCGCGAAGTGCGTCGTTGTTTTTCTCCGCGTCAGTTAAAAAAGGAAAAACTCGCGACTCTGAACGTGCGCCTGGTGACCCACAGAGTGCTCGGGACAGACGCGGACGTGATCAACAGGACGTGATCAACAGGACGTGCTCCTCATGGGACGAGAGGAGGCAAGTGTCAGCGCCTAATCCGCATCGCCTCCTCATCCTCATCCTCCTACTCGCCGTGGCACAGTGACCCTTTGTATGTGAGCGGTAATTGTTTGCTCGAGTCATTATCTTTATTCATTCGTTCATTAGCCCGTGACGGATCCACGATTCCACATCGCAGCAAGGCAACAGCCGAGCTGCCCGTGGCAGCAGTGGCGAGTAAAGTCCCCCAGCCCACCTCTCTGTGACGGACGGATGGATGGACGGAGCCAATATCGGTAACACTCTCAGCCTCGGTGTGAAAGCGTCCGGCGACGCCCGTCAATTAACCGTCAGAGCCCTCGCAGATCCACTGCGGGGAGTTTAGCAGTTTCACAGATCCCCGCCTGATCCACCAACCCCTGAAACCCAGCTGTGCGCAGCCGCCAGGCGCGTGGCTCGCCTCGAGCGGGCATTACTCTCAGCGAGACCCTCAACGCAGCCGAACGGAAATCACGCGCAGCTGCTGATGCTTCGCGAGCCGTTGTGAGGCTCTTGGTGCAATGGGCCATGAGGAGCGAATGCGCTGGAGATGATTGGAAGATAAACGCGCCCCCCCCCCCCCACCGCGAGGCCGGCAGAAAAGAGGGAGGGGTTGGGGGGGGGCTCTGATTAAAGGGCGTAAACAGCGCTCTTCACGTAGCCTGCCTGGTGCAGCCAGTCGCCGCACCTGTCCCCCTGTCGAGTCGAGCCGTGCGAGGACCGAGACCCGTGCCGGACGGCGAGAAGGCTACTTGCCAGTCAACATCGGGCAGACGCCAGGCAGTGCATGGACCATGGCTGCTGATGCTGCTGCTGCTGATGATGCTGATGATGATGCTGATGCTGCTGCTGATGATGATGCTGCTGCTGCTGATGATGATGCTGATTATGATGATCTTGATGTATCCGTGCTCAAACGAGCGCGATAGGGTTGTTGCTCATCTCCGTTTGCGGACATGAGCCAGTGATATAAATTCCACATTCATATGGCAGGGCCACCAAATACAAACTGCGAACTTACCCCGAAGTGCTCTCCATCGTAGGTGCACGTAGGCCGTGGCAGATGGCGAGGGCTTGGTTGAGGAGGCCTTCATCCAGCAGTGGATTTGTCATGGCTGACGACGACGATGCTAATAATATGGGAGCTTTCTTGCCAGTATCACAATATAAGAACATGTTTTTACCCTTTCTGGCTATTAAACAGTTGTTGTGTTAAGATGAGTTCTAGATTTGAAGCTTTCGTGACTGCAAGGATTCATACTCTTAGGTTTTTGCGGTAAAGTCACGTAAGTAAAAAATAAACAAATGAAATCACTGATTTAATTAAATCACTGATTTAATTTAGTTATTTTCATTAATTATTATTATTTTTTTTACCTACGTGACTTTATCGAAAAAACCTAAGAGTATGTGTTAAGATGTTAAAACACCAAACTGAAACCTTTTTCAATGAATCATGTCTGTATTAATCACGCGTACTAGTGGCGAAGTATACGTTCGCCTTTTCGCGTCCTCTGGTCTCACACTGCTTGAGACTAGGCTCTAAAGAAGGCTGTCTCTGGTGTGGACCAATCAGTTTCCAGGATAATTCAGCAGTTTTTTGTTTGCATATTCACCACAAAGAATGCAGACATGATTCCATGCCATAGAATTCAGTTGGGTGTCTTAACAGCTCAACACAACTGTTTTATTGCCAGAAAGGGTAAAACCTTTTCTCATATTTTGATAGTGGCAAGGGAGGTCCCATAACGGGTCGAGAATTGTTGCTCGTTTTGAGCCAACGCTGCCGCAATGATGCCCTCTCAGAGGGCCGTGTGTTCGATGGGAGGATGTGCCACAATTATACTTGCCCTGTTCATGTGGAGTGACAGATATTTTATTTGTCTCGCACGCTCCCCCACCTTGGCTATTATACGGGGTGCTTAACAAAATGTGAACACTTCTGAGAATTTGCAACGACACCACGAGATATGTGCCTCCGGGATCTGGAGACCACCTGGAGAAGATTCCAGGCACGTGTTGACAATGATGGTGAACAAGTGGAGCCTCTTTGACTCTTTGAAGCTAAATTAAATCACGACGTTTCGGGCGCAACACAAGCGTCCGTCATCAGGTGTGAAAGCATGATCTGCTGCTGAGGCAGACTTTTTAAAAGGGTTTTTTTTTTAAACAGTCTGCCTCAGCAGCAGACCATGCTTTCACACCTGATGACGGACGCTTGTGTGTGCGCCCGAAACGTCGTGATTTATTTTATTTTCTACCTACGTGACTTTACCGAAAAAACCAAAGAGTATGGATTCCTGCAGTCACGAAAGCTTCAAATCAAGCTATTAACATTACATTTGTTATCATGTTACAGTCTATTATCAGTTTATTTTCCCATTAAAAACGATAGTCTCATATAAGTATTAAAAAAAATGTAAGCACCCTGTACTGCAATGAGCAGAATAAAAAACATCGTGTTCTGTGTGCATCCATTGGTGGCGGGGTCAAGGACATGAACGCGCCGCTCTTGATTGGAGCCCAGGACCTCAGCGGCTCCTGCCACGGTACCGACCCAACGAGACCCGGCGTGGGTGTCTCCGGCTCCGGGTTGAGCCGTGTCACCGTCTGCGTGGTTGAGCCGTGGACGCGGTGATTGAGACGGAGGCTGCCCCGGCGTGAGAGCCGGGCCGAGTCGCACCCTGGGAGCCGTGCCCGCCTCGCCGGAAGCCAGGAGACCGGCAGTCAGGGCGCAAATTTAATTAAAAAGCCAATCCTGGCAGCCAAACGCGAGACCAGCGGAGTTTCCAGGCAATGAATTCCAACGGCTCAGTTCACCAAAGCCCAGTTAAGCACATTATTTATTCAGGAATCGCAAGGATTAATGTTTTTTTCTTATTATTAAGAGAGATATATAAATAATGTTTTATTGTTGTTCCCACTCCCTCGGGATCCGAATTGAGTCCAGAGGAGAATGGACGCTCCTCTTACACGGGCGAATGATGTCGCGTAGAGAGCGGAGCGCCGTTCGTCTTGAGCCGTCGCTCTGCGCTCCGCTGCCGCTCTAATTGTCGCTCGTCCATCAGCGGCTGGGAGGGGGGGGGCTTTCGTGAACGCCTCCCCAAGTCCTGCGTGACAAAGGGGGGCGATGATTTTGTTTGTTTGTTTGTTTGTTTTTTGGTGTAATAACGGGCAAACCTAATTACGGACGGCAGAAAACCGGCCCTCATTATTCCTCGCGTTATGAGCCGCCTCAGCAGCAGCAGCAGCAATATTCACACAACGTCCAATGTAATTTAAAACCGTTTGCAATTACTCGATCTGGATGTTTTTCATGTTATCTTTTGTCGGCGTTTTTCTATAATCTTTCCTCGCCCATATGTGTTGCGTTCTTTCATTATATTATATTTTGTGAGGGGGGGGGGGGGAGGATACTGAAGCTTGTAAGTCAATAAATATGACTATGAGCGGCGGAATTGAATAAAAAAAAAACGATTTGAGGAAGGGCACGAGGCGCGATGCGATAATGCCTCCTCGAGTTCCCATCAGGCGAGAAGAGCGCGCGAGCCTGACGCTCATCACCAAACTTGTGATCTGTGTCTCCCTGATCATCGTCGTCGTCATCGCACACACAGCGGTGCGCGCGCGTGTACCCAGGACGGCCGAGCTATCGGAGGGGCAGGAACCGAGAGCAGAACGACGACGCGAGGCGGACGAGAGGGAGCAGTGACGGAGCGCAGTTGGCGCAGCTGAGTGAAGGGGCGAGGAGTGAATACATTGGGGACGCTGCTGCTGCCGCTGCCACTGCTGCGTAGCGCGTGGAGACACCGTGGTCATTCGCGAATTATAGGGAGCGAGAGAAAGCCTGTTACGCGGAGCGCGCAAGAGCTGCGTGGAGAGACGCGCGCTGGGACTCGTAACCGGGATGAGACGGAGAGATGAGCGCGTGGAGTAGGAAGATCGCCCACGCGGTCAGGAGAAGTGAGTGGGGCTTGGGCAGGACGCGTGCCGGCTGGAAGGGACGACGGGCCAAGAACGATAACGGCGCGGGGCAGCCAAGGAGCGGGAACGTGTCCGACAGGACGTCCTGCAAGCAGAGATGGAGCGATGATATCTTCTGGTAATGAAGGATGATGATGACTGATGACGATGATAGAACGACGGAGCTGAATCAACCTCGGTCAGGATTTGAACTCAGCATCTCCCGTCGCGGGGCTCCCCGCTTCTCGACCAAATGCAACACGACCGCGAGTTTCGTTCGACAACGCGGCCGCGTCGCACACAGCAAGCGGACCCTGAGCACGGCGGAGGCGTTCGGAGTGGGTCACGGGGTGGGGGTTGGGGGGCCATCCCGAGACCCCTCCCCCCTCCAGCCTCGAGCGCACACGTCACCCCGAGACCCCCACCCCCTACAGCTCCGCGCGCGCGCGCGCCACCCCAAGACCCCCACCCCCTCCAGCCCCGCACACGTCACCCCGAGACCCCCCCCCCTCCAGCCCCGAACACACACGTCACCCCGAGACCCCCACCCCCTCCAGCCCCGAGCGCGCGCGCCACCCCGAGACCCCAACCCCCTCCAGCTCCGCGCGCGCGCCACCCCAAGACCCCCCCCCTCCAGCCCCGCACACGTCACCCCGAGACCCCCACCCCCTCCAGCCCCGCACACGCGCTGCTGATAAACTCCACGCGCACAATGGACCAACCCGCGCGCAGCCTCTCCGGAAATTCGATGACGATTTCCATTCTCGGGGACGGCTCAAAGCTCCGGGGGCGTAGCTCTGATTGTGGAGCGGGCCTCGGCGATGCCTCCACGACAGCGTCGTGTGGCCGCGAGGTGGAACAAAGGGGAGGGGGGGAGGGGTGTGTGTGTGGGGCACGAAGCAAGTCCCCGGCTGTGATTCGTCATCGGATTTCTTTTGTGTGTCGGGTCGTGCGCGTGGGACGTCAATTACAGGCTGCGCGCCTCTCACCGCCGAGCGATATTTCGTGACAATTTTCATTTTTAGGTCAAAATAGTTTCGCTCGCTTTTCACTTTCGGTCTGCTGCGGCGACCTCATTTGATTGTTGGCTCGATCGTACACGCGGAGGAGCCCGGTGATGCATCACAGCGGTGGTCGTGAAAGCCTCTGCATCAAAAGAGTTGCAATTTTGGTCATCCCTTCGGGCGCAATACAGTCGCGCGTTCAGCCATTCCTTTGAGCTGGTGGTCTCGACAAGGCTGGCCGTATCGTACATACAACGTGGCGGCCACGTGACAGGCACGCAAGGCATGATGGGTGGGAGTGGTGCCTTCATGCTGTTTGTGAGCAACACACCATCGCGCATTGCTGTTTCTACTAATCCGCCCACTCACCCATCGTCTCACTCACTCAACCACACACCAACTCACCCTCGCAACCACCACTAATCCACTCACCCTCTCAACCACTCACCCATTCAATCGCTCACACCTTCCCGTGCTGCTCACGCTCATTGTCAGCAGCTTGCGCGCGTCTCCCCGTGCCACTCGCGGACTCTCTCATCATTACCACGGCGAGTGCTGCCATTGAATCATTGTGGTGGTCATCCGTGGCCAAATAACCAACCTTCTTGACCGACGCGGTGGGGGCGGTGTGGAGGGGGGGGGTGGTAGGGTGGGGTGCATCCAATTAAGCATCCAATCAGGGCGGCGGGGGGGGGGCTGGCATTGAAGAGGAGCACGCTCATTACAGGTGATCGCGCGGGGGTTGACGGGAGGGGGGCCACTCGATACTCAACGTGTGGAAGGTAACTGGTCTGTCGCTCCAAGCTTCGGGATCTTCTCGGCCACAGGTCGTGACCTCCCTTCTCTGTGCTTGTGGAACGTGGACCGCCTCGCTAAATGGAGCATCTGCGCCGGTAAGATGCATTCAGGGCTCGCCTGCCTACGATCCATCCTGGGTTTAACCAGGTTGGATTGTGTGCTGGCTGGGATGTGTAGCCCGCATACTCGGCTATCTTACCAACGTGGAAGAGGAGACAAAATACCCTCTAATTGTTGGGAGGGGGGGGCGGTTATATATTGCTGAGGACCTTCCGCTAGCAGTGGCATGACCAAGCACTTGCGTGGCTGCGCCTTCAGCTTTGATGAAAGCTATGATGGTGCTCATGCACGCGGTTGCGTCGGCCCAAGATTGTAAAACGAACTCATGGACTTAAGTTTACCACCCCGCGGGTTGATGATTGGTCTGTCAAGTCGCCCACAGCGGACCAGGATTCGATCTTGCGACAAGTGAGCGCGCTTGCGGATATCACGTGAATATCATTCCTGATCAACTACACCATTCGTGTCCATCCTCAACTCACAGTCCTGAGCCAGCGGTGGAAATTCCACGTTCGCATGGCGGTGGCCAGTTCGTCAGCCACGGAACAAATATTTACGCGATATAACCGAAGAAAACTTTATTGCGAATGTATAATATTGGTCGCGAAAGCCTACGTGTTAAACAGCACCGCCACTTTTAAATTTCGATTTAAAGCTTTCGTGACTGCAGGGATTCATCTTCTTGGTTATTTCGGTAAAATCACGTAGAAGGGAAGTAATAAAATAATAAAAATAAAACATAATAAAATAATTCTCACGACGTTTCGGCCACAACGCAAGCAGCCGTCCTCAGGTGAAGAACAGGTCCGTCGGGGAGACAGCGCTTGGTGGTGTTCATTCAGACGCTGTCTCCCCGACAGCCCTGTTTCTTCACCTGAGGACGGCTGCTTGCGTTGACCGAAACGTAGTGAGAATTATTTGATTGTTTTATTTTTATTATTTTATTATAAGCACCACCATTTTTGATCTTCTCCACAAAGTGGTACTCTTTTTATCGACCACGGAGGGTGCGATGATGGGTTGAGTCAACTCCCCCCCCCCCGAACCCCCCAACCAGGATTTGAACTCACAACCTTCCAATCGCGAACCGCTCGCTCGGCCGCTCAGCCCCGTGTTGTTTTGAGGCGGACACCGAAGAATCCGCAGCTCCTTCATCTCTAAATTGGCGCATTCCGTGCGCGTGCAGCAGGAGAGGGATAATCTGCCTAACAGAGTCATTCATAACCCCCGCGCTCGCTCGGCTCCGTCACCACAGGAGCTGTCCACTGCCAGGATATTAAACCACCACACCGTCCCCCTGCAAATTATAAAGTGTCATTCGAGATCGCGTGCGGTGTGCAGGATGGATGGGAGAGGCGACGGCGGTGGGGGCGGTGGGGGCGGTGGGGGTGGTGGCGGTGGCGGTGGGGCAATGGAGACGATTTCTGATATCATCACAACAGGCCACAATAATATCGCGCGCGCACGGACGCATGAGCAGAAGCGAGTTAAGTGGCATTAACGCCGAGAGAACGGGAAGAGCAACACCCGCATTAGAGAACACGCGCAGGCTGCGGAGGCATCGCGCTGACCGTTAAGAAAGGTGGTTCGGGCAAGTGAGATATCTTGGGTCGACGTGTTGGCCGTGTTCGGGAAACGGGACTCAAGTTAAATTTTGATTTAAAGCTTTCGTGACTGCAGGGATTCATCTACTTGGTTCTTTCGGTAAAGTCACGTAGAAGGGAAAGACAGTGTCCGAATGTCTTTCCGACAGCTCTGTTCTTCACCTGAGGACGGCTGCTTGCGTTGTGGCCGAAACGTCGTGAGAATTATTTTGTTTTATTTTTATTATTTTATTACTTCCCTTCTACATGACTTTACCGAAAGAACCAAGAAGGGGACTCAAGTTGGCCGCGTTTGTTTCAGCAGCGCGCTGCGCTCCGCCGGCTCCACCCACGAGACACGCGGCTATGCCGCGAGCGTCGATTGCCAGCCATCCTTCTAATCAATTGCCCGTGATGACTCCGACAGAGGAATTCATTATGAACACGAGATTCTATGAGAATTATGATAATAATAATCAGCGAGCGGGGCGGAGGTGCGCGCGAGTTACCTCGGTGACAGCTCAATGGGCCCCCCCCCCTCTTTCAAATGACACCACCGGGGGGGGGGGGGGGGCGGCGGGGGGGGGGGGTCTTTGACGCCCACTGGGAAGCAGCCCGGCGCGTGCTATTTCAAGGTCAACGCGACCTCGGCGCTAACCACGTGGGTCGGGCCTGACGGACTCGAACCGCGAATTTCTGCAAAACAAAAAAACAAAAAAACAGGCGCCGGGAACGCGCGCGACCGCCGGGGCCCGCGTCAGCTAATTAAGGCACGCGCGCGCGCGCCGCGTTAATAATTAGAGAGGCGAGGTGGTGGTGGGGGGGGCCTAGAGAGATGACTGGCGGTGGTGGGGAAGGGGGGGGCACTTGGGTACCGCGGCCGCCGCGAGGATTAAAGACGTAAGCCGGCACTGGGGTCAATTCGTTATCCAATTGCAACTCGTCGCGCTGGTAACGCGCCACCACCGCAGCAGCAGCAGCAGCGGCTACGGTGGTCATGGGCCACCCAATGCTGGATGAAGGCCTCCCCAAGCCGCCTGCAACCTCTCACCATCATGGGCTGCTATTGTTTATTGATTTTTTTTATTACTGTGATTCGTTGCGTATGTCGGGAGAAGCGGCGGTGTTGTTGTTTTTTTTGTGTTCACAGTGAAAGCCGATTGATGGAGTTTCTTGGCTCGGGGTCATTCTAAATAAACTGAACGGAACTGAAGCCATCCAAATCCATCACCTTGGACCGTGGCAGGGAGTGGACGGCACGAACGGCTGTGGTGGCGAGTGGGTGAGGGGCGGTATCAGCACGTGGTCGGAACTTTAATCGCGGTCCACGTCCAAAATCAGAATCTTCATCTAAACTGGAGGAATCGCATTGAGCTGTGAAGCTCTTATTCACAGGTATCCATCGATGCGCAACTGGAGACCCCACGGCATATACGTATGTACTGGATGTATCTTGAACTTGATTCGCACCGTACGTAGCCAACCGTGCTAACCGCAGACATCTCTCTCTGACCGCCCGCCCGCCCCTGTGATCCCAAAGGTCAGAGCCGTCTCCCCTCCCCACCTCCCCGTCACCTTCAGTCGTCCCGAGGGGTTCACGATGCTCACGTCGCCTGCGGTGGAGAGGGAGATCCAGCCAATTTCACGTGGCGGCTGATAGAGGCGTCAAATATCTTCTGGAGCGAGCCCTACAGACTTCACATCATCCCCCTCCTCCATCCACGTTCCCATGTAAATGAGATTTCTCCGATATGGAAAACTCAGCGGCTCTCTGTGCCACGTGGGCCAGGTGAGCATAATTGGGATGTTTTTTTTATTTTCGCGAGCACCGCTGCGACTGCTCTCTCTACGAGGCATCGCCATCATCCGTGGTCAATCAGCTGCTGGATGGAGGCCGCCCCGACGAAGTCGCTCTTTCGCGCTTCCACGCGAGAGCCGATTTCATCGCTCCATTTCCTCGCATGGCTAGCGCCGTATGTCCGCTCCGTTGTGCATCGTGGCGTCGGAGTTCATCTGTTCAGAACCCCGCAGAGCCATCGGTGGATATTCCACATTCCTGTGGTGGGGGCGAGTCTGTCCATAAAATGACGGCTCCCAGCGTGCAAACTGAAACCACAGGTGTGTTGCGTGCGGTGGGGTAAAGTGTGGGGGCTCCCAGTGACGTCGTCACTACACGATCAGCTCAGAGGGTGCGGAAATCGGTCAGGTGGGGCCCCGATATTTGATTTGTCTCGCACGGTCCCGCCTTTGCTATTATACAGGGTGCTTCCAATTTGTTTTTTATACTTCTGAGAAATTGCAACACCACCACGAGAAATGTGCCTCCGGGCTCTGGAGATCACAAGGAGAAGATTCCAGGCACGTGTTGACAATGATGGCGAACAAACGGAAGACTCTGACTGTTTGAAGCTATGAACATACATCTGTTATCACGTTAGTGTATTATCCGTTCTTTTTCCATTAAAAACGATAGTCCCATATAAGTGTCGACATTTGTTTAAAGCACCCTTTATATCACGGATCCTCTTGCCTAATCACATCATTACATACGTTTTTGTTAGTTTACACTGTTGTCTGTTGTTGAAAACATATCTCATGGTTGTCGTCAAGGGTACTCCCAACACGTCTGGTGAGCGTGGCAGAGTAGACCAATTACCATCGAGAGCTCGCTCGAAATGGAGGCCCCGTCCGCTAGCATTTGAAGTGGGTGAGCCAATTCCACGGCTGCGCCTTAACCTCTGAACGGAGAAACGGGGGCAGATGAACCACGCGGTGACTTAGGCCGCCGTGCGGTTTGTACGCTCGAGGGTGCCAATCAGTGCACTCGTTACGAACATGCCACTGGAATTGGAGACCAATTCCTGGCTTGCATATCCTGAAATCAGTTACCGGTTCGCCGGCGATCGTTAAGCAACCCCAGCACACGCACGCGCGGTCCTTAGGAGTGTGGTTTCGAAGCCGAGGTGTGCGCGCACGCATCCCTTTAAAAAGAGCCGCACTTAGCGGCCGACCTACTTCCCACTTTAACAAGGACTGGGTAATGAGGGTTGACTGGAGGAGGCACGCAGCGTGAACTAATGTGGGCCACAATTGGCGCTAATGTACTCACTCACTCGGCGAGCGAGCAGCCACAGCCAGCCATACATTAAAATTCTCCACTCCAACCACAGGCTCCCATAACACAGCTCAGCGGCGGCGCTAACGTCGCTTGCGGCAGAGATTCGAATCCGGCAGGCCACCCCGACTAATACTACGGGTGGATGAAACCGTAAAATCCTACGCCGTCTGCTAGAGGGTGGACGCTCAAGATCCCCCTGACGTCATTTGAGAGGAGTATGCCAGTGTGTGACGGCGTCATATCCGAATTCAAAACACGACCTGCAAATTATTCATTTGGGTTTACGTATGGCAGCATGGCGCCTTGAGACCCTGTGAAAGATGCCTGCTCAGTGCAAGTGACAAGTATTGTGTCTGTGACCCTACAGTGAGTGGTTGAATATCGTGGATTAGATGAAACAGCCAGCCTGGTTAACACAAATCCTCAATACGAAGTCACCTCCATGGTTGTCGTGATAAAATAGTGACCAATGTACCACCGTTCGTGCAATCACACCACACACACACACACGTGCGCACGTGGTCAGTTTAAAATGGTTGTTTATTTAGTCTCAACGAAAGAAGCAGCACTATTAAAGAGATACAAACATAAAAAGCCGTGTGCTTAGTTCTCACCCACACCAGGGCGAGGTGAAACGACCAGACAGGTGGGAGTTAGTCCGTCGGCGAGACGCTGCCGCCTCGTGCCTCTCTCACGCCGACCATCCACGCGACGCCGCGATACACAATTAAACACAGATTTGATGACCAGGCGGTCGCATTTTGCCGACACGTAAATGACCAAAAATCCCCACCACCATCCCACGAACAAACAAGCAATCCAGTTCGGCATCCCGAACGACGTGGCCGCGAGCGCGCTCCCCAACGCGCTCCCGACACGGCTCCCGACACGGCTCCCGACACGGCTCCCGACACGGCTCCCGACACGGCTCCCGACACGGCTCCCGACACGGCTCCCGACACGGCTCCCGACACGGCTCCCGACACGGCTCCCGACACGGCTCCCGACACGGCTCCCGACACGGCTTATTGCGGAGGGGCTCGCGGCTCTCGTGGGTTGCAAGGCCTCCGCCCCGGTTACCGCGCGCCGTTCTACTTCAAGGTGCGCGCGGTCAAAAAGATCTCCCCGAGGTCGTTCGAAAACGAGGCCACCACCGCGTGCCGACATCGCGTGTCCAAAGTTTGCCTTAGTTATGGGGGGGAAAAAATGACAGCGCACTTCCCTCAATTCGAATTGCACACGGGCAAGATCGCTCAACCCTCCCCCCCTTCCCCTACAGGCAGGCTACATCGGTCCTTTGCGATAGACTTGCGCCACAAACACAAACGGTGCTCGACCACCACTCTTCACCATCCATCATGGGCATCGCTCTGCGTGGCACCCCATCGCAAGCGGTGGAAGGAAACGACAGCAAACTTAGGATCGCGCGCTGGGACCGACGCGTGCAGCCACGGACAAAATTTCCACGTCAACGCATAGTCTCGCTCCTTCCCCCTCCACGTTTCCTCCAAAAGACGTGACGAGACGTAATATTCACCGGTACGTGAATCAGCGGGGGGGGGTGTCTGGGGAGAAGAGGAAAATTAACAAAATCGGGACCACGGTGGGAGAGGCGAGCAACGGGGTGAGGACACTGGCGGCTTGAGGAGCCGCCGCGCGTGGAGATAATTGGTGGTGTCGAGGCTTCACTAACAAATGTGATGCAAAGCGGAGCAGGCGTGGCCCTGGGGAGCCCACCACGGGCGAGAGGCCCATTCATCAAAACGCTCGGTTCATCCGTACATCAGCGGGGTTTCCAAACTCCAGTCCTCGCGACCCGCCACGCCGCACGTTTCCACGCTCAAATCGGGCGCACTCGCGCAATCGCCAAGCTGTTATGCAACTACACGCACCCCGATGATCGCTGGACACGTCGATGAATCCGAATCGGATCTCTTCCCCGTTGTACGAAACGCACACCTATATATATACACACACCATACACAGTCGCACGCACGGACGAAAAAGCCCCCATCTCGATTTGGTTGGGCGCTCTGTCAGGCAGCGTGTTTAGCAATCGCCGGGGGCGTGCGGTCGCGAGCGCTGGAATTTGGGAAGCGCGAGGCAGGCGACCTCTGGAAAACGTGGAGCGGACCGATCAACTCTGCAAGAACGCATCAATTCGAAAGAAACAAAAATCCACGGGCCACATTGTAACCTTCATAGCCAATAACTGTACTTTGTTCCAAGCCCGATTCAATTAAAGATTAAAGCAACGTTATTAATAAAGATATTAAATTGGGCGGCTACGGCTCTCTGGGGAAGCTGACGCGCCGCCGTGCCGACCTCCCGGCAGCTCGCGACAGCTCCTCGACTCGCACCATCGATTCGATCCCCCCTCCTCCACCAACCCCCCCCCCCCGCCAGCCTTGGGTGCGGTGACCCGAGCGGGGAAGGGGGTGGGTGCGAGGGGGGGGGGTCGTGGCTTTCACGCCACGTTGCCGAAATGGCCTTCCCGAAAGAGCGGACCCATTTGTCTTACTCCCACCTGTCACTTCGGAGCAAGCCGTGGGCGCCGAGGTCGGGAGCGGCGACGCAGCCAATCCCCACGCGAATACTCCCGGCACCGCGTCAACGAAACAGGAAGTGGCTCTCCGCCCAAGATACCTGTGCGACGGGCTCAAGAGCGCGCGACACGCACAACACGCTTGGGCGCGCCACTGGACGTGACGGCACGCACAGGTCGGCCGGGTTGGCTGCCGAGCTGTACTCGAGGTCTTTACGCGGCGAACCCGAGGCCTCTCCGGGAGCAACATCAAACGGTTTGCGCGGCGTTAGCGGGGTCGAGATAACGCGCGCGCCGACAAACTCGCGACGCCGGATCGGGGAGCGTTCAAGTCGCGAACGACGGGAGTGCCCAGCCAACTAACGCGAGGGCGTAACAGGCACCCACGCCACGCATGCATGCATTTGAGTGGGCGCGATGGCACTAGAGCGTGCACCTAACAGAACTCACAGTGGACACCAACATCACGGGTCAATGCTTTGTACAGAGCGGAGCAACGACTCGCCAAGCGCAGCGTCGGGGGCGCGGGTGACATTTACCCACGCGAGCTTCTCTTGACCCTACCGAGCGACCGACTGCCCGGCTCACGCCAATTCGAGAGGGTATTCGGCGGACTCCACCACGTTGACCGGACGCGTGGGAAGGTGCGGGCGTGCCCACGCTTTTTATCCCCGCCACGCGCGGTGACCTGCCGGTCGTGCGCCCGTCTGCTCCGCTGTGTGAACAGAGGTCGTGGGGGTCGGCCGGATTTGAGATGCTTGCCCCCCCACCCCACCCCCCACGAATCGTTTCAACTGCAGCGCCGGAGTCTCGGAATCGAACCGGCGACCTCTGGATCGCAAGCCCAGTGCGCCGCTCTCCACGAGGCCACAGTGGCCGTGGCGAGCCTCGGTGTCGCTGTACTATCGGCAGCTGCACGGAGGCGTCTCTTTGCTCCGCGGTTTAAAGACATTGAAACCCTGAACATATTGCACAACCGAAAACAGCAACAAAACCCAACGGAACCGTGACTTCATTAGCGGGAGCGGCGAGCGCGGGTCGGCGCCCGCTGCACATAAACATCTCCTCCTCCGTGAGACGAGGGAGTTTTGTTTTTGTTTTAATATCTGGCCCAAAGTTAATTTCCAGGTGGGGCGCCAAATAGCAAAGGCCAGGGCTGGATAACGACTCCAATTTAGATGAGGGCTGGCATTCCATCACGGGGGTTTAACACAGCAGGTGCAGCCAGGAAGAACAATTGGGAGTTGCTAGAAATTGGAATTTGCATCGGTTCTGCTCGTCACAGCTGCCGGGGTGACTCTCTCTCCGTGGGTGTGGATGCACACAGAGGAGACCACACGAATCGGCCGGCCCGCTTACATTGCAGTCACGTTCCAACTTCAAGTGAGGTGTAATGTTTTATTCATAAACGGTTTCACTTCATCTAAAGTGACCAATTTACGGCTACCTTTGCGATCTTTACGCAAACACACCGAGTCCAATTATATAAGCCCTCAGTCAAAGGTCAGCCTATACAAGGGTACAATACCAGCAAAATGCGCACGCGTGCACCCACACGGCCAGTTTTCACGCACACACAGCCCGTGTACATGCGCACGCACACACGGCCAGTACACACCCCCGCACACACAAACACACGCACAGTACGCATGCACACGGCCAGTATAGAAGTGATCACACGCACACAGAGACAAAGATTCCCCCGACAGCCTTAACGGACTTTTGGGGCAACTGCTGTTTGCGAGCACGTACATGCACACACACACACACACTGCCAGTATACACTTATCCGTATTAATCTGAAAAGCTGCATAGCAGATTAAAAAAGAACGACGTTTAGAAACAGTAGTTATAGATCAACGGAAAACACGACGACGACACTTATCACACTATTGTTATTATTATGATAAAGGCCTCATTCCATGTTCTATAAAAATTACGATGTTAAGAAAAAAATAACAGTACTAATAAAACCAACCAGCATCACGTAATAGTGCAATCCTCTGCAATCACGGCTTAAAACAAAAACGAAAGCGCACTCCGTGTAGCAAGCACACACAAGCACCCATATCTTTATTTAATTTGTGTACAAGGTGAAGGGGTCGACATTCTGACCAATGTCCTGTACGCAGGGCAGCCGTCCGCCGGGAGGAAAGCGACAGCCGCTTCTGTCCGGATTAGGGGATTCCGAATCATCGCTCCGGAAGTGGAAAGCGACGCCAGAGACGCGTCTCCTACGGGGTGGGGGCGGAGGCAGCCGGGTTCACATCGTTCTGCCGAATCAGAACATCGGGGAAGCACGTGGCGCGCGTTGGGGGGGGCGGGGAGGGGCCAAAAAAATATGTACAACATTTTCCTTCCACGTACCAATTCCCTAACCTAACGTGCAATTTGATCGTCACCGGATCCCTGCGTGGACTCGGCTTCGGTGCCCCAAGTTGTGAAGATGGGCACCGGCATTCCAGGCATCCACCAGGCACGCAACGCCTCGAGCACCCGCCCCCAACCCTCCCGCAATGCCGCGAGAGATTGCGGAGATTGTCGTCAGTCTCGTCCTGCTCAGAAACGAGTGCGACTCCTTTCCGAGCAAGCGTCCCGTGATGCCACGGCATTTCGGGAGACCGCTGTGCGCAACGCACTCTCAGCAGGGTGGATTGACGCGTGCACGAGCGTAAGAATCGGTGCGTTTCTCTAGAACCCCGCCCCCTTCCCCGACGTTTAGAACCCTCGACGTGTTTGCAGTCGGGAGTGGGGGCGGAGTGTGGTAGGAGGTGGGGGCGGGGGAGGCAGAGGGCAGACCCAGCGGCGCACGTCTCCATCAACAAAATAGAAAAGTAAAAAACGGAAGGACCTCCACGCTGGCAGAGAAGCAGGAGGGTGAGTGGCCGGCCGGACCTAGATCTTGGGCAGCTTGGGAGCGCTGATGGCCGGGTGGCTGTCGAGCAGAAGCCTGCGGCCTGTGCTCTTGTAGTCGAAGGTGCAGGCGTGCACCTCCGCGTAGCGGTGCATGCCGCAGAAGTTGTTGCCGCACCTGCGAGGTGGGGGGGGGGACGGCACGGGTGAGGGGGGGCATCAGCACGAGCGGAGGGCCGGCGGTGGCCCGAACGACGCCGACGCCAGGCCCCGTTGGGGTAGGCGACGGCGAAAGTAAATCCTATGAACTATACCAGAGTGATATAAAATGGTGGCGCGATTTGCGTTTGACAAAGCTGCCTTTCTTTGCGCTGGGGCGTCTCGGAACACTTGCCAAGCGATAAACGTCCCCTTGGACCCGTCTCATTCCTCAGCCGCCACTCCATTATTATTCTTGAGCATCGTCCTGTCGTCCCTTCTCGCCGTCACGTGTCCTGCCCAAGCCCCACTACTCACTTTTCGTTTTAACGGCGAGGATGATAGCATTATAACTGGGATATGGACTGTTTGTATCGAAGGATCGTGGTGCGAGACGGGTGGTGGCGGCGGCTTGGCAAGTTCTTCATCCAGCAGTGGATGTATCATCGATGATGGTGAGGATAACAGTAACAGCGGTGGGTGAAACAAGTCAAACGTCCCGATAATAATGAGTCTCGTCGACCGTTTTGTAAGGCGGACGTGGGAGATGACCTCTTTGACAGGAGCCTTGTTTACGGATGAAGCAGAAGCGATGGGGCAGATGGCATGGGAAATCTATCACTCGCTTTGCCCCAAGACGAATGTGCAGGTTCGCACGGGCCACAACAGCTCCTGGGACGGAATAATTTTAGTTTTAATCTTTCACTGCGTCGTCTTTTCCCCCCCCCCATTCCCATCCCGGCCACAAAAACCACGTCGTTCAAGAGACGAGGGAATCCACGCGGATCTCTCGCGCAGAGCAGCGCGACAACCCCCTTCGCGTTAAAGAATGGCCCGCGCAAGCGGATATCACAAAGCCACCCCCGAGATCGCTTCGAGAGACATCCCGTCCTCACCGTAGGGAGCGTCACTATCCCGCCCGTATTGCCACGATGCTCGCTGCACGACAGGATGGATGAATTCCTATAATGTGGTGGCAAGTGGGTGCTCCACTTGTGTCAGCCAGATGGATGAACAACCGTCGAGGTGTTAAATAATTTGCCTGCCGCGGGCCGCTGGAGGCAACGCTGGCAACCGCGTTCGCCGAGCCTCGCTCGCGCAAGCGAGGCCTGGGCGCCTCGGCAGGAGCTCCCTCCCCTCCAGCCTCCAAGAAAATGCTGATAAACGATAACCCCTTTGCAGCTGACAAGCGACTACCGAGGGTATTTTTAACACTTTCCGACGAAGGCTGATTATAAGTGAATGCGTTGTAGCGCCCGCGCGCCCGAGATCGCGGCACTCCTCGACCATGAATCATGCCCAGGTGCAGTGGCGCATGAGCTCAGTGAAAAGGAAAACGTGGGTGAGAAGATTGACTGGGAGAGCAGCGGCGGGGAGTTCTTATTTTGTGTGAGATCGCACGGCAATTATTTATTTGCTGCAGGCGCTCGCTTTCATCCACGCCGGTGCGGAGCAGCGCCGTGGACCAGCTCGCGCTTATGCATTTTGCTCTGTCCATCCGATTGAAATGCCGCCCACAGTTTGTACAACAAAACCAAAAAGAAAAGGACCACTAATTAAATACTTCCGAAGATAAAAGCGCGTTACTAATTTGTTGATTATCATAAGGGTAATGAGATCGACTTGTGTAAAACTCACAAAACGACCTCCCCATTACCCATAGGCTGATTATCGTGGTTGCTTAACCAAGTAACTGTGCTCTTGTGCACGCATATGCATGTGCGTGTGTATGTTTTTTCATGTCAGGAGCTCACAAATTCTTGAAAGATCCGGAAAGATGCCCATCGGTGAGCTCCTCCTGCAGGCGAGGCTGTTTGGCTGGGTCATGTAGCCCACATGCCCAGCAGCTGCGTGCCAAACTAGCTTCGGTTTGGCTGGATAGAGGGGGCTTAATAAAAATGGCACGGGCTGGGAGAGATGGACTAATGTGGTACAGAAGAGTGTGGAGCCAAGTGGACTTGTCGAAGACTGTAACCAGCGAAGTCCAGATCAGCCTCGACGGGAGAGATACGTGAAGGACGCTACTGGGCAGTTGGAAGTAGTCACCCATCAGAAACGGCAGATAGCAGAAGAGCGACGCTCACAACAACGAGCGGAGTATCGGGTGGCTAAAACGGAGTAGGTTGGCAGTGGGGAGGGGTGAATCTGCCAGTCATCTCAGTCAGTCAACCCATGGCATCTGGGTCTGTTCCATGACCTCCTGCCAGTGGGCATTTGACACTCCGTGTGGCCTCAAAGCGCACCTAGCCTGGCACAAGCGCCGCGGTGACGTCACGAATGGCAGCTGTTGTTGTTTATTTTTACGCACAAACCTCCCAGTGCAGGACCCTCCAAACAAAGAAAGAAAACAATTGGTGAGCAGATCCCGATTTTTCGGAACGGGTAGCCGATGCCGGAATGGGTTACAGGATAACCGATTGTCCTTTGACAACCCCCTTCTCGGTGGGTGCGGTGCGCGGTGAGCGACCGGGGTGGCTTGCCTGCACTCGTAGCTCGTCGCCAGCCCCGTCTTCCGACCGCAAAAGGAGCACCTCTTTGTCGCCGCCTTCTTCCTCGGATACCAAGTTTTCACCGCGTACATCTCGTCATCTGCCATGCACGAGACGGAGGGGGCGCACGAGACGGAAGGGGCACACGAGGGAGCACACGAGGGGGCACACGAGGGGGCACACGAGGGGGCACACGAGGGGGCACACGAGGGGGCACACGAGGGGGATCGGGGGGACGTTGACGATCTAATAAAGGTACACGGGAGCTTCCACCTTCACACGACGCCCGCGCGTGACGGTGCCCCCATCTACCACGACCCCATCTACCACGACGTGGACAAATGGGGCTACGTGCTGGGGAAGGAGGGGGGGGGATTTGGATGAATATGATCAGAGTTTCTTAAAATCCATGGCCACAGTAGGGTCAGCGCGATTCTAATTCTACATTTCAGGGAAATCCGTGAAAAGTTTGCCTTGGACCAAATCACCGGAAAGCTGCCCTGGCTTCTGCTTGGATGGGCACCGAGCGTGTAAAACGTGGGTGTTTGTAGGACGCTGCAGGCAACATTATGGGCAACAGATGGCAGTGCAGCAAAGTCCATTATTATACTGTACTATCCTCCAACATTTGTGCCTTCCCTGTCATCACGAACCCCGAAGTGACCAACGCGGTAAAGGTAAAAAAAACCCTACGACCCACATGGGGGGAGGGGGGGACCTTAATTCAGTGTCGAACAGAAGGCCGCCGTGCGTGTAAGTGAACAATCGGAGCTCAACGCCACAGATGTAGCCGACATTAAAAAGCCACGCAGGCGGCGATGACGTGAGGCGCCGCGCTGATTTGTAATTTGACACGACGTAGCGCGAGCACATGCGCGCGCAATCACGGCACGCTCCTCGACCGTTAATCACGCCCAGGAGCAGCGACGCATGAGCTCAGTTTGAGGGAAACGTGGGGAGAAGATGCGACTGGGAGGAGAGGAGCAGCAGCAGCAGCGGGTTGTTATTTTTGTGCGAGATTGCAAGGTAATTGATTGATTTAGCTGCAGCCGCGGCTTTTATCCACGCCGGTGAAAAAAGCGGCAGCGCGCAATTCAACGGTCGTGCTGAATCGAGCAATTGCGGCATAAGTACCTCGCATAGAGAGAGGTCTTAAAATTCTATTTGGCCATTCTTGTGCTGATCTCGGTTTGTCGTGTGTGCTCCTATTTCTGTTTGCCTCATTGTTGCACTTTCTTTTATCCTCTTACTGCTTTTTGTCCTCTTCGTGAACCAGATCACTCGAGCGCACGAGACTACCCAAGGTCTCCAAGGTTCTCGCCTGATCAAAACGTCAACTCTGAGACTTGAACTCTGCGGTTGCATTTTGCCGACTCGAATGAGCTTGCGTCTCGCGCACCGTTCCGCCGAATCAGCACTTGCGAGAAACAAACTGCAATTTTCAGCGCGAACATGAAAGCCGCGTCGGGTTTCGGTTAACGGGGGGGGGAGGCGACACCCGGCGGATTTAACACCCAGCGCCCAGAAATCAATCGGCTGCTGATTTAAACGGATTTGACAAACCCAACGTCGACGCCATCACGCGCTCGTAGCTCTTTCCCTGCCATTGGCAGAAAGTGTTTTAGTGCAGGCGAGCGCCAATACGGCAAAGCGATTGCATCGGCTCGCGGGGGTTAAGTGAAATACCTGATTCTTCGGCATGTGGAGAGTAAGGTTCCGAGCAGCGAGCACCATTGAGAGACTGCACACGCACGGAGAGGGGCACGCGGAGACGGCGGTTCACACGGCACGCTCCGGCTAACGCGCCGCAAACCATCTCGGCTTCCTTCGTTCGGCAAACAAATCCCGGGGAATATGAAGCGTCCGTTTGATTTTGTCCATTGCATTTTCACCGACAGCTCGCAATCATGCATTATTAAAATGGCAGCCTTGTTAAAGTATGAAATCGTGAATTATTGAGCGAGGAGGCAAAACGCTACGCGCACCCCTGCGCCACGGGGAACGCACGGAGAAAGCGCGCCGGCTATCTCCGCGCAAATCCCGGCCTCTCCGCTGCATGCCAGGTCGACGGCGCCATCTCTCTCCGACCACAACGGACAACACGTGTCCCCTGTTTACACTGCGTCAGGATTACAACTCCAGACGAAGCCGACGTTGGTAAAGAAGAAGAAAACCTGCAAAACCAAATTTATATGCCCACCATTCCTTCCACATTGACGGTTAAACCGCTGCAGTGTCTGTGATGTAATGTTTCACTCCGTGACGATTATCGCAATGTCCGTTTCCCATAAGTCTGTAATGGTATTTCGCATTTCTATCATGTGTGCTTTGCCATGCTTCCAGTCCGAATAGAGATTACTTACAAAGTTATTTAACTGCAGTCCACTCAACATTAGCCTGCCTCAAGTCTTCTAATCATTGTAACTTTACAAACTGTGATGCTTTTATTACACAGTCATTTGCACAATATTTAAGCAATTGAATTAATTACTACATTCATCCAAGCATACTTAAGTTTTGATGTATTTAGACCTTTAGTGATTGTTTTTGTTATTTCATAAATATCTCGTCAAAACACAAAGAGGTGGCATCAAGGCCAGAGATGTTGATGTCAGGAATGAAAATATGAATAAAAAAGAGCAACAATATTCCGATCATCCTGGACCTTGCATCACACATCGTATCGCCACATTGCGGCTCCCGTACAACTCGGTCAGACAGAGGGGGGTGGGGGAGGTGAGCGGACACGGCCCGCGACCTAGGATCTACGATCCGTCCGGAGGCCCGGCAGGCGTGACACCGTGCGAGCTCACGTAGGATGCGGCCCCGAAGGGACAGGAAGAGACGGACGCCTTCGTCGTTGTCTCAGCCCCGCGGCGGTGCAGCAGGTCGGGCGTCGCGGCTCGAGCCACCGAGCTGCCGTGCGGCAGGTGGCGGTCGCGCGACGACATGCGTCCGAGCAGACGCATGTCTCTGCTGCTGCTTCCACCGCATGATGGCACGGCGCCGGCTGCCGCGGCGTAGTCTCCCTCCGAGCCGCTTCTCGGCCTGCCATGCGCGCCCACCACTTTCTTGCCTGCGCGGTACAAGCGTGGGAGGGAGAGTCACGGTTGTTGGCCCAACCCTGGTCACTGTGGTCACACCCACCCTCACAGCAATCGTCGAGCCTCTCCTGCGCAAACTTTCGTGGCAGCGGAGAGCGACAGGACCCTCTTGAGACTCATTGAAGCTTTCCTGGGTAAAAATGCCTAAATAATAATAAGAATACAAACTAGACTGGAGTTGAGAACTACTGCCCTTGACTGCCTCTCTCAAGCCCGCTGTGTCGGTACAGCTGAGAGACGCGTTGGGAAGACGCCACGCAAATCCACATCGTGTTGTAGCTGTAAGGGCCCCCCCCTCCCCCGTTTAGCTTCAGGCCCAGCCACCTTCGTCTCTCGAGTGCCGATGCCGAATCCCCACAAGGGAGGTGAAAGACCAGTTCAAATATTCGCGACTGATGTTGGCCGTGGTCGGGAAATTCACTCGGGTAGCCGGGTTCGTAGCGCAGTACACTAAACACTCGCACACGCAAGCACACACGCAAGCACACACGCAAGCACACACGCAAGCACACACGCAAGCACACGCACACGCGCAAGCACACGTGCAAGCACACGCACAAGCACACGCACACGCGAGCACACGCACACGCGAGCACACACGCAAGCACACGCACACACGCAAGCACACGCAAGCACACGCAAGCACACACGCGAGCACACACGCGAGCACACACGCGAGCACACACGCGAGCACACACGCGAGCACACACGCGAGCACACACGCGAGCACACACGCAAGCACACACGTAAGCACTGACCGGGTCAGAAATTGAATTTGGGCAGAATTCATCACATTCTAGGGCCACGAGAGGCATGCGGGCCGTCGAACGTCCGACTGCCAATCTCGGGCACCGTTTAGGTGACCGGCGGCGGCCAGGACAGCGACCGCGACGTGAAGTGGGAGCAAATAGCCGTGCAGCGGTGCAATCCGAGGGACGATTTACAGAATAAAGTCTTGCGCTCGCACGAAAGCGCGCGATCAATCGTGCAACTCGGAATATATCATTTGCAATTTCAGCAAGGTATTCGTTGCTTGGGTTGCAGAGAGACAAGAGGAGGAAATACGCCAATTGGAAAAGGCACGCAGGTTGAATAAGAGAATTTTAACCGTCAAGAAAAGTCCGCGGGAGCGGGCGTGGACATGTCGCGATGGCCGGCGGGAAAGAATACGGACGGTGGCGGCCAGAGGAGGGAACGGGTTCGGGAAAACGTCCTCTGTGGAAACCGAGCGATGAATTCCGCTCCGTTGCAGGTCACGGGGAGCGTTCGTTAACATCGCAGGTCCGCGAGAGACGATGACGGCTTGGCGAGGGGCCTTCACCCAGCGGTGCATTGACTGCGGCCGACGATAACGACGGACGAATCATATCTGCTTTTCTTATTTTGTTTGCTGGCCCCCGATCGTAACAATCCCTTCAATCGCCGTGATGCAATTTAAGGCTGAGTCACCACATGCAAGGCGTCACGCCATGTGTGACGCAGCGCGTGACGCAGCGCGGTCTCTCACAATCTCACGACTCGGCAATCCATTTAGCGCATGCACACAAACACACTTGCACCTGTCATGGGAATGTGGAGTTTCCACCCACTGGCTCAAGGCAGTAAAACGGAGGCGGGAGCACTGCCTCAATGCTCATTTTGAGTAAGGAAGCCAATCATTTACTCTGGGAGGAAAATTGGAACACCTGCAGTAACTCATAATTAAAGGCGGCAATTCAAACGGAAGATAAAAGGGTGTGGGGGGGGGGGATTTGCATAAAATTGTTGAAGGAAACACGTGGGGGACATCGGTGGCTCGTTCCGAGGAAGGTGAAGCAGCGTCGCACAGCACAACTACTTCGGAAGAGCCATCCAAGGGCAAGGTTCGCTGCAGGGTGGAGCAGCACCGGGCTGGTGAGCGTTAATAACCAGCGAAACGACATTTACCTTCGCAAACCTTCCCCGCAAGGCCCCGTGCGCCCCCCCCCCCCCAATGCCCCCACCCCCGGCACCGCTGGCAACTGGACATTAGCGTTCCATGTGGCAACCCTCCCCCTTCCATGACGGTGAGGGAGGAATTGATTGGATCCTTATCTCATTCCTGCCGCCCGTCTCATTCCCTCTGCTTTGTTTCTTCCGACGAGACCTTAAATCATCTGATTGGTTGGCAAAAAAATCGACAAGCAAACGCATGCACGACTCAATGCGCATGCCGTGAACGTCGCAGCGGATTTTTAGTCGCTGAATCGTGACACGTGGACTAGGGTGGTTAAACAATAAATCGGATGGGATAGGGATTATGAAAGGCAGCAATCGGTCATCGAATCCAGTGGAATACGAGCAGGGAACGGTTGGAATAGCCACACTTTACCCCACCCTACACGACCTGTCGTTTGACTTCCCGCGGTTGAACCCAATTACACTGCTGGGTGAAGGGGGGGGAGGGGGAGAGATTTGCCCAGCCCGGGGGGTTGAACCAAGCCAGCGACCTCTGGGTCGAACCCAATTTTAACCACCCTAACACAGAAACGCAAGGCGAATGGAACCATATTGATTATAATAAGAATCAATTCTTAAGCTTATTATTATGAGTTGTGCAAAATGAATGCTAATGTTACGCATATCAATTTTTTGGTAAACGTTTCATGTCCACGTGATGCATCTATGGAGAGCCGTCTGCGTGCACACGAGCTGCTGCACAGCAGCCGCTGGACCGTTGAAACGTGACGATGGCTTGGGGAGGGGCCTTCGCCCCGGCAGCGAGTTCACCGAGGCCGACGATATCGACGACGCCGGGCTCCCGTTACATTCCTCAAATAACAACACTGCGCGACGAGGCCGACATGAGCGACTATGGGCACATTGCACGAGAGAGGCGGTTCAGAAGAGACAAGAAAGGTTCGACCCCCCCCCCCACTTTTTCAGAGACGCGCGGCGTGGAACTCACCTGCCGACACCACCCTGCTCGGGTTGCCGGCTCCGCCAAAGTTTTTCTGAAAGGCACCGGGGCACATCGGCATAGGCAGCTGGAACCTTTTCACCTGCGCCGGCGGGCGCAGGTTGCTCGCCCCCAGGGGGGATAGGCGGCCCGAGGCCGTCGGGGGGCAGCCTCGCGGCGCGGCGGCGCGGGGACGGCACCAGCAGCGGCTTGAGGAGCGGCACGGGCGGCGCGCCACGCCCCCCGGCAAACGGCGCGGTCCGAGCCGCCCCGCTCTTGGCGGCCCTCGGAGGCTCCCCCGCCGACCGCTTCAGCCTCTTGAGGGTCTTCGTCGACTCGGAGAGGTCGTCGTCGCTGGAGCCGACGCGGCCGCCTTTCAGCTGCCTGGTGGGGCCATGCGAGGCCCGCAAGCCGCTCTGCGCCCCCACGACGTGCTCCCACTTCGTGTCGAGCATTGCGTTGTCGAGGTCGCTGCCCTCCCCTGGGATCATCAGCCGTTCCAGAGCCTGGACGGTTTTGGCGACTTCCGCTTTGTACGCAGACTCTCTGCGCTCCGCGGCACGGGCGGCCGTAGCCGCCACCGCCGCCGTGGAGATGTTCAAGCTGTCCATTTCGTCGGCGAGTTCCGAGAGCTCCTCCGTCGCGACGAGGTGTTCCGGCGCGGCGTCGGCGTTCACCGCGGCCACGTCCTTCTCACCGCTCGGCGGGATGCAGAATGCCGAGGGGCCCAACCCCGGCAGAGCGCCGCCAACGTCGAGTTTAGGAAAAAGCGAGTACGCGGGCCAAATGTCGGCCGCAGAGAGCGCGTAGGAGCCAGCGACATGCGAGCTGTTGAACAGACTGCCCCCTGCTTCGTGCATCAGCAAGTGAGTCCCGGACGCCAAGTCCTCGTGAGTCGAACCCAGGGTTCCGTCAGAAGGCGGCACTGCCGGTGCACCGCCGGCGGCGCCCGCCTCGCCTCTGCCCGGCACGGCCACACCCTCCAGAACGTCTGCCCCCATGGACAAGCTGCCACTGGTGGCGTCACGCAAGCCCTCGGAATGGACAATCGCGTCATAGGCATCACCCGTCAAGGCGTTGGCCGCAAAGTTTCGGCCGCCGAAGAGGTTTGGGATGGCGGGGAGAGGGCTGAACGTGGACATGAAGTCGGCGTGGCTTTTGGTGATAGCGGCCTTCTGATGGTCGGTAATCGGGGCGTGTGCATGCTGCCCGCCGGGCATCTGCCCAACTGCTGGGTGGAAACTGCTAGCAAACACGCCGGTGGTGAGCAGGCTGGTCGACACGTACGGGAGACCCACCGGCGCGGCGGTAAACCTGCCGTCGGCATAGTGGGCGCAGAACGATAACGGGTTTATCAAGGGGACCGGCGGTGGCCCCGTGCGCGAAGACCCGCGCGATGGTGCCGTGGTGACCGGGCTGCCCGGGAGATGCGGCGATGCCGGCGGTTGCTGGGAGCTCTCGGCGTTTATGCCGTGGATCGGCTCGTCGCATTGCGGGAAGGCACGCAGACGGTGACGGGAGTAGCGGGTGGTGAGATCTTCATACAAGTCCTCGGACGACGGAGGCTGCGGCTGCGGCTGCGGCTGCGGCTTGGGAATGTCTTTCTTGGGCTGCAAACACAACCACAGATTTTTTTTTTATAACTCCTCCGTTACAATGAGGGTTGTTAAATGAAAGCCGTAAACTTGTTTCAAAATCAATAACCAGTTCAGAAAGCCAGGAACCTTTAAGCGATCAGAGTGTAAGTGTATTCAGGAATGCACCGATTGGCACGTGCAAACGTATAAACCAGACTGCCACCTAGGCCTCGGCAAGGCAAGGTAAAAGGTAAAAAGCAACGAGCCTACCTTTACCCTACCTTTTACCCTTACCCATACAAATTACCCAATTGCAGGGTAATTACTGGGGTACTACACATGAAAAAGGTTTATAACGGTAAATGCTAGGTACAGCGCTTTATACATATAGAATACTTTCGACGATTCCAATTTTACACGCTTTCTTTGAACTCACTCTGTCTGTTGTTGTTGTCGTTATTGTTGTTGTTGTTGTCGTATCCTCAAATCTTGCAACTCAATTTTAACCCGCTTCCCAATGTGTTATCGACTGCAAACTTGGTATACTTATGTTATACTGATGACAATACTATATTCTATTATAAAAAATGGAAAACATATATTTTAAAACATTATTTTTATGTTATGTTTCTGCTTGGGTCTAATTGTCCACGCTCAACTGACGTTGGCTGTCAATCACCACGGTCCCTTACGTTGTGGCAAGCTTCGGGGCCACTTCCTGGAGTCGTGGAGTTCTGCCATTACGAATACGGTACATTTCATAAAAGTGTGTTTTTAAATTTCAAAAATTAAAATATGACTTATTAAATGGAGGCCAAGGACTGCGCCACGGAGCTTTTAGCGGTAAACAAGGTACCGTATTTACCGGGTAATACTTCGCGCTACTTTTACCTTATCGGGTAATTCTTCCGAGCTACCTTTACCCTACCCTTTACCTTATCCCTTGGGCATGTCGACACATTTACCCTTTACCCGGTAAAAATGGTAAATTACCTTACCTTGCCGAGGCCTACTGCCACCCCAGAAGATGGAATTCTGGATTGTCTTGTGCATTCACCATTACGGCATGAAAGCTCCCTTCCCCCATACATTGACTTGGTTTATAGCGAGACACCTCATTTCACACCAGAAACCGGGAATGGCGAGCGGGCGACACGAGCATATATATTACACCGACACACGACGACCAGATCACAGCTGGAGAACAGATCCATCTCCCATCAGTGCATCTGTTTTCATTAAATGTGCCGTCCGGTTCCGTTCACTGTTGTGTAACGTTGTTGAAAATAAGACAGATTAGAAATACTTTTGAAGAAAGCATGTGCCATTCTAAACAAACGACCAGATAGCGACGCAACGACAGTGCCGACCGCGCGAGAGGAAAGTGTCCACGACCTGCTTGGCGAGGCTCATGTTGTTGCGGAGCACGTTCATCCTGGTCATGGTGAGTGCGTTCTCCTGCAGCTGCTCCACCGAGGGTGACTCCTCGGCATCCTCCTCCTCCTCCTCCGCGTAGAGATTGTACATCGAGCCGCCACTGCACAGCGCGCACATAGGGAAGTGCAGCGGCGCACGCACGCGCACACACACACATACATACACACGAGGCTCAGATCTCCCACGTAGCCTCAATGGACTGCCGGGGTTGTTATCAAGCGCCTGTCAGTGACGACGTGGCTCACGAGGTGGTAGTGGTCTGGCCAGTACTACGCCGGCCACCTTGTTTCCCCAGTGCCGAGGTTTGACACGCTGCACCAGATACTCATTTCAGGCAAAGTTGACCAACGAGAGGGCCCAGGATCAGTTTTGATATGTCACCGATGCTGGCTGCAAGTGAGAATTAAACACGTTGCCGGGTTCGTAGGACAGTGTGTTAACCGCCGTGCAGCCGCTATCTTACGCACGCAAATCCCCGTATACACACACACACACAAAAAACATGCCCATATAGCCTTAGCAGACTGAAAGGGGAAGTGCTGTTAGCGAGCACCTATGAAGGCCGGAACGGCACACGAGGGGGTGGGTGGCCAGCACCACGCCCGACCGCCTTTGTCTTTTCAGTGGCGATGTTTACACACCGCACCAGGTACTCATTTGAGGCTAAGTCGACCTAGGGGAGACCCAGGGCCGGTTCAGATAATCGTCACGGGTGTTGGCCGTGAACGGGAATTGAACCCGGGTTACCGGGTTCATAGCGCAGCGCGCTAACTGCTACACTATCGCTCCCCACCATACCACACACATGAACAGACATTTGACTTGTTGATGAATTCTATTAACGAGTGATTAGCTGTGATTATTTAGTATTCCTATTATTACGCTTGGAAAGCTTCATTAGAGACGAAAGATAACTTATCAGGAGGGCCTTTCTGAGCTATCACAGTGAGGGGGCTTACGATTTATCTGTGCGTTTCCCAATCAAGTAAGGTTTTCAAATTTGGCAAATTTCAACCTCGGTGTCAGCGCACAATGTCCAAACTATGCTTCGAGAGACGTCCGGGCACCATCATCGTCCACTTCAAAGCAGAAAGTGCAAATGTTACGGTTAATAACACTCCAAGCAGTATTCACCGGGGAGGGCCTGCAGGGTTCGAACCGCGATCCTCTGTAACAAGCATCGATTAGCACTACAGCTGGGCCATGGCATCGCATATTCTATTTGTGCTGATAATGCTCAAAATATGAATTTGTAACCAATTTTCATTTAACCGTGCAAGGCTCTTTGTGAGAAGTGGCCAAACGCACGTCTCGAAATATGGAGGGAAAAATAGGAGGACCTGCAGAAAAATCCACACTGCCACGGGGGAGAACATGCAAACTCCAAATGTACAGGCGTCAATGTTTGGGATCGCACCCACGTCCTCCTGTATACCAGGCGAGGCAGTTAACATCTCGCCACCGAACCGTGCCAACCAAACGATGCCACGCGCTCTCTGCGCATTTCTCCGCAGCGATGGAATCTGTTGGTGCGCAGCGGCCAGACTTCGGCGTCGCAAGGTCGTGGCAGATGGCGACGGCGTAGGGAGGCCTCTATCCACATCTTGACCGGTGACAACTCGCGGAAAAAAACCGTGACACCGCAGCTAGACAAGATTCAGCCCCTTGTCGCTGGAAGCCCCGCTAAGCGGCCGTCCACGAGGTTGCGACTATGCTTCAGCACGCTTGTCAGCCAGAGCGCCAAAGGCAAGAGAGGGCGTGTAATATAACACAAACAATTAAATTTACGGAATCGCCTCGGCAGTGGTGCACATGCAGAACAAACAAATAACGCTAAGTTGATCGCAAACATTGCCCGACCAAAAATAAAACATCACAAGACTTGCGTTTTGGGCAGTATAGCACTATTACAGGTTTGAATTACTTTTTCAACTTGTGCCATGGAATGAAAGTAGCAATGAGCGTTGTTTCCGTCAATGTTTTTGGAGATTTATTCAGCTGTCTGGAAACCACTTTGCTCTGGCACAGAACAAATATTTGTATTTTATTAAATTTATCCTGTGCTTAAGGACTCCGTGAGCCCTCTACGTCATGTTGTTATTGTGTTTGTGCAGTTGTAGCAAGTACACACACACGACATTCACAACTTGCGATTGTGTAATCCACACACCACGACGGTTATGCAACCAAAAAAGGTTCCCGCGGTATTGAAAGGATGAGCTGGAACAAAGAATTATATCGCAAATCCACCGCAAATAACAGGTCTCGTAACAGGCCAACGGAAGCCTGCCATTTTCATGTCAAATGGCAGCGAATCGCGAAGAGGCGAGTCAAACTTTTACCTACGGCAAATACAGGCTCCACCGCGCGTCGCATGATATCACCGTACCGAGTACGGGCAAAAGGTTCAGCAACACTTTGTAAGATTACTTTGACTTCACCGTAATGAGTTTTAGATTACCCTAAAGTAGACTGTTTCCAGACAGGGTTGATATTGGACGGTAAATACACCGTCCCGTGTGACGGTTAATTTATCATTCTTAATTAGGAGCGCTGAAAGCCAACCACGGTGTATAAAGCAAGGTTCTCTCTCTCCGCCTGACCGCACAAGAGCAAGAATAATAAGTTGGGAATTAAATACGGCTATTTGCTTGTTTATTTATTTTCAGCTACAATATGCAGCTGCTGGGGAGAACTGTGGTGCAGCGGTTAACAGACTACGTTGTGAACTCGGCCCCGCAATTCACTAACCCAAACGACGGACCCGCGGCCTCCGATCAGCATGGTTGGCTATGTACGGTGCGAAAGAAATTCAACGTACATATGTAGATATACGTCAAACGACCAGGAGTGGATTGACAAAGGGCTGTGAAGAGATCAAGGCGTCACCATTAACCTGGGGAGGAGATTGTTGGCTGGAGCGAGAGACCGGGAGTAACAACTCCTCCGCTGGTGCTATGGGTGCCAGTGATCCACTCAAGATGCATCTGCCTTGAATAATAAACAAATTAACCAGGCTCGCCTGCCGTGGGCGGGAATGTCAAAAGTGCTGTGAATTATCATTATTTATTATTTCCAGCAGCAGCTGCTGTTGTCAGGTCTTGGCTCACGGCTTGAGCAAGACTGTGACCGAGGAATAGTCATTGTAACTTACAATGAAGCAACGGGCGTAGATCCTGCCAAGCGAAGCAGCGCCACTATTAAGGAACGCTCACAACTTCAATCACGCCATCTGCGTCACATCGCAAGAAAGACGGCTCCATCCGCAACTCTCGCAGCAGACAGCGCAATACCCACAATAATAGCCATCTCCATTCACGGGAGGGGCATATCCCTCCGCAAGACATGCAAAGCATACTCGCATCACACCAAAACAAAATGTTCCATTGTCAGAGCGGGAATCGAGCCAAATTTAAGTAAAAAACTGGAACTTATTGATGTTAATTTTTATCTTCTGCAGTCACTCCTGACCAGGCTGAGGCCATCAACTCATCACGGGTGGCTGAACCCAGATTCAGACCCAGGATCTCAGCGGTGCCAGGCTCAATTTGCCAATTCAGCAGCAGCCTCCGTTCAGTCACCCGGCCACCTCCAGCATCACTCCTAACGGCACCTCAGGCTTGACCAGAGCGCGCGGGCCCAAAGAGGAGTGCCCGTGCCATCACGCTCACGGCAAACGTGATCGGGCGACGACACGGATCGGTAGCACGACAGAAAATGCGCGCAAGCCACCAAAGGTGCCATCGGGTGTTGCTTAGATGCGTCGTGCCCACGCCCCCTGTGTAAGCGTAGCATCATGGCCAGTGGTCAGTCATGTCTTGAGCGGATCGCACTTCACCACAATCGCCCTTTCATTTGCGAGCAGTAAAACGTGCACACTTTTGCCAGTGACTTTGCAAGCGTGCTCAAGATGGCTCGAGCCAGATCCCAGACACCCGTGAGCTACACGGTTTTTGAGCCACAGGCCCAAAGCACAAATAAGCGAGCAACAAACAGTGCTTTTGAAGGTACAAGAGATAAGAGTTCATTAATTTCTTAAATTAAGAAACGTTATGAGAAAATGGGAAAAGAGAAAATGGGAAAAAGATGATAGGAGGGAATTCCCATGTGGAGCAGTGAGGTAAGAAGCAGAAAGAAAAGTGGTGACCTTATGCCGGTATTTAAATCTATTCATGGCTTTGCCCCACCTTGCCTCGTCTCGTTTCATGTCTCCTCCCGCCCGCTCCGCTCTCAATCCCTCCTACTCCTCACCGTTCCCCCACTCTCTTTGCGCACAATTACCGTTTCCGCTCCGTTCCCCTACTTGCCCCCTTACACTGGAACAAACTTCCCCGCCGCATGAAGCAACGAGCACGCTCCCTGTCGAGTCTCCGCTCCTGCCTCAAGACCCACACCGCTACTCCCTGGCCCATCCTTCCCTCCATCCCTAGGTACCCACCGTAATTACAGTACCCACCAACTGCCCTCCCTATAACCCCATCCCTATTCACCGCATCACTACCCTAATTGTACAACTCATAACCCTTGTCAAGCGCCTTGGATCAAAGTGCTATATAAATATAAGATAAGACCTGCAGTGTGGTAACTCGGTGTGTGAGAGAGTGGGTGAGTGAGCCGTTTGTTGTGACCTGCAGTGTCGTGAGTGAACACAGCCTGGCAGACTGAGTTCTCAGTATAGGAAGCAGAATGAAGGAATAAAGTTGAAACGAACAGTAACTATGGTAGTCACAATATAAGTGTGATAGGGATGCGGTGAGCGAGTGACTCGAGTGAATCAGGATCGATAATCAATCCGACTGCTTCACTTGGAATTATATCCAGTGCAGTAATGTAGCAACTGGATGCTCCACCGCAGATATGAAAACATTCCAACTAACAGGCCAGGTACATCAACTGTGAGGGAGTGGTCCCGCTATCGGAAGGCTGCGAGTTCAAATCCTGGTTGGGAGTCAACTCGGACCATCATTCCTTCCAGGGTCGATAAAAGCATTACCACTTTGCAGGCAAGTCAACAGTGGTTGTCCTGTGGATGAACTCGCCTCCATCACAGCAGTGTGGAATTTCCACCACAAGCTCAGGCTTGCACACAAGAGATAATGCCCCTTTAAATCAAAGTGAAATCACTTTGACTTTCATTCCACCTTTGGCCGAGTTCGTGCTTTGTCTCGGGGAAATGATCGTTGGGAATTAAACAAGGCTCTGGCACGGAAAGGAAAACCGAATCATCTCCATCGCTACGGCGGCTGGCAGCAGCTCATCCTCGCTGCCGGGAGCCACCGTCACCAAACTAATTTTTGCACACACACATACGTGCACCTTGCAGGGACACAGACCCCGCCCCCCCGTGTTGCTGCAGCAAACGTTGATGCAAATCGCCGCGCGGCGATCGAGCTGCCTTGTCCGGTGGGTTTATATAATAAGGACGCCGGCGAGCCCTGCGTGGGGAGCCACCGAGTCTCCATCGCGCTCAACCGACCGTTGGAGCGGCTTGAAACGTGCACGACGCACACGGCCAGCTAATGGGCTGGCGAGAGACTTGGACTGAGCGGAGGAGGCCGCTTAATAAAACATGCCGCTTTGAACGGCTTCTGCACGCTCATCTCATCCATGAGTAATGCTCGCTGGCACTGCGCTGTGTGCGTGCGTCGATAATGAATGTAACGCCAACTCGCCGCAATATCTGAACCCGCCATCCAATGTAACATATCGGAACACTAATTGTTTTGTAATTATTCCCAATGAGACTATTAAGCGCATATCAAAGAGTCTGCTCGATAGAACAAATTGTCCGTGCGCACGGCAGACAAAAACTATTCTGAAGATAAATGACATTCATCTCGCATTCACCTCAAAGCAAGTGCAGAATGATTAAAAAAATCCTTTTTAGATTATTTTTGATTCACATCTGCTTAAAAATTTCATTGATTTTGGGGTAGTGAGAAACAATATTAGACAGGTTAATGAAACATTTAAATGGCACTCCAAGCACAGCAATGAGCTACCACAGCGGTGTAAAGGTGAGCACGCCAAATTTGGTCCTGCATGGCAGTTGAAACAATGTGGGAAGTTTCTTAAACCTCCCCGCTTCTGCCCACAAAGCAGCACATTATCGATCCACCAAAATTAGCCGATCGGCAGGTACGTGGAAGAGTAGGCGATTGCCCTCCAGAGTTTATTCAGGCGGAAGCCCATTAGCCAGCAGTGACATGGGCAAGCAATTGCAGGACTGCATCTCTACCTTTTGACTGCAAAGCGAGAGCAAAGGCTGTTTGTGCGTTTGCTCCAGCCATTAAGTGCACTCGTTACCTACGTTCAACTGGAAGTGGTTACCAGTTCCTGACTTTCAGAACTGGTAACCAATTCTAAAATCGGTAACCGGATGTCGTTCAACAACCCTACCTCTTACCAAGTGTGGAATTGGATAGAGGATTTCTGCAGTCAGCTTCAACATCCAGCCTGCTGCAGACTCGCGCATGCTGCGCTGAGCACCAGGGGGTCCTGGATATAATTCAGCCATACGGTAAATACAGTAACTAAGTACCCTCACCTGGTACTTAGGAGGTCATGGGTTCAATCCCCACCTTGATGCCTGTATATTTGGAGTCTGCACGTCTCTCTCCCCGTGGTTTTCCCTCCACATTTAGAATCACATGCGTTTAAAGCATTTGGCTGCTATAAATTCCCACGTGAGAAGCCACTTCGTTGAGATATCCTTTATGGCCAGGTGGCTTCTGAGAAAAAGCTCTATAGCTCAGTGGGCCTTACCGAGTAAAATAAACATAGTTTCATGGAATAGGCTGTATTAAAACATTGGCAGTGGGAACCATGTGGATAAATGCGATAATGAACGGTCGGGAACGCCTTCATGAATATATTTATTCCTAATAATTACACTTGTTTACCAGGAAAGCCTCGCTGAGGGGGGTGATGTTGCTACGTGTAATCCCAACTGAGTAGCTGTCAGGTAACTTTTGAGCATTGGGATGTTTGGCCAATTCCAATTATATTATATTTTGGCTTTTTTAAAATATATTGAAAAAAAACTGGAGAACCTTGCGGAAACCCACGAAGAACAGGAGGATAATTAATAACTACATGCAGAGAGATGTCTGTGTCGAGAATTAAGTCCAGGAACTTCATGCTATGAGGCACAAGTGTGACCACTGTGCCACCCTGACACCATAAATAAAAAATGGATCACAGTAATCGTGCCCTATAAAATACCCTGTAAAAATGAAGCATATGCCCTATATATAAAAAAGTATTTTACTGGGAACCAGAGATTGACGAAGGAGTTGACAGTTTCATAGGGTTGAACGATTGCAACATCAAGAATTAACGTGTTCGTCGCATTCCGTTTTTCAAAATTTACTTGGAATGGTATTTCCCAAACAATTACGTGATGTAAATTTCCCAATTTGCTTGACATTAAATCTTTGGATCAAAGAGTGACCTTTTGGCAGTGGGATTAACAGCAGAGATTCCTATCGACCCTGCTCTTTCTGACGATTCACTCGGCACGCATCCCGAGGCCCGGCATTTTGGAAGACCAACGTTCACGATGCAATGAGCACCGAGTACTGCCACCGTGCCACGGCGATGAAATAACCATGGCCCCCCATGCGATAGTCGCGAATCTATTTGAAAAAAACCAAACCGACCGCAGTCATGAGTCAACTAGTTGTACTCTTGGACGCGATGCACGAGGAAGGTCCGACAAGGTCCAGAAATCCACAGGCCTCACTACAAACATAAACCTACAGTTGATCATCGATTATCCAGCATGCAATTATCCGGCTTTCAACATTATCCGGCGGTCCCGGGGCGATCCAGTGAAAACCGGCAAAAACGCTCCAAAGGCTGTACCAGTCCGGCGATCGGCACCATGTGCGTGACAAAAAAAGTAGGTATACTTGATTTTAGTGTAAAATATTATACACAGGACATTACAAACAACTTCAACAATGCAAATACTGCACATATATACATTTTTCGTGAATAACTACAGTAATAAAAAAAAACTCTTATAATTCCATCCGGCGAAAAGTGCGTGTAATTCGGCATTCACCGAAGCACGGGTTTAAAGGCTGCATCAGTCTGGAGATTGTCAAACACATGTTGTTAAAACAAGAACTAGTGCTTATCATTACCCCATGCAGAGTCTTCGAGATTGGAGTGTTAAGTACTGTAGGGTAAATACAGTAACTTTTTACAGAAACCTTTTCACTTTTGCCTCTTTGTATGTTTATTTATCCCATTTTCACACAGTCAACAAATTAAAAACACAAAAATGCCTATACACAACACCTAAAAAGAATCTTATATAAAAATGTGCAAAAATAAGAGATTTTTTTTTGCATGTGATTATCTGTCGTTTTTGAAAATCCAGCACCCCCTTTCCCCCATGCCCCGAAGCTGCCGAATAATCGATGTTCTACCTTTCTTCTGTCATTCGGTCGTGTAAAAAACTCTGGAAGCAATCACGCAAAGGTTCACTCGCAAAGGTCACAATGTTGCACGTGTGCTTCAAAGGGAATCCACATGCATTGAACTTCAGAGAAGCTCTCTGCTTGCCCGGGGGGGGGGGGGGTGGTGGGAGACTTCGTCTTTTAAAAACAATACAATCCTTTCTCGGAGGATAATTCGGGCATAGCTCATCCAATAAAAACATAACCTTTCGAAAGTCTCTGGAGCCCAAAGGAGTAGAAGTGGTAACGGCAAGGCATGCAGTGCCACCTGCTGGCGTTTAACTGGAAATGCTGCACACACGTTTCGGTACCGCGAGGCCAAAGAAAGATTACACGGCAGGCTAAATATGAATTGCCTTCAAACAACGCAAAAAATCTATGGAATTGTTACGCTTAGGGATTAAGCGTCCGATATCGTCAGATCTCGGAAGCAAAGCCAGTTTGTGCCTCGACAGCGATTGGGACGGGTAATTAACGTGCACGCCAGGCTATCACTGCGAGCTGTGGATTCGTGCCACCTAACTTGGTGGCAATAGCAATAACACATCACACGATGTGACCTTAACACGACCTCCTGCAAGCTGTCAATAAAGCCAAGTGCAATCTATTTCAGAGGAACACAATCAAATGGCAATTAAACTTCCAGGCGTGTTGGCACACGCTTGCAGCCCTGTGCTCGGGAGACTTGTCAAACTCAGCTGGCATCAATGTGGCCTCGATGTGGCAGTACAGCAAGTGGGCATATTTTTAATATTTGCCATAAACACTGAGTGCCGGCTCGAAGGCCCAAACTGTTGAACGGCCAGCAAAAAGTAATAAATCATAATTAAATAAATTGAAGGAACACGATAAAAAATATTGACTAAATTGAAACTTTGCTGTTTAGAAGCACCACGTCACAATTCACAATGGCACGGCGATCGCCCAGCAGGTAACGCACACCACTGCCCCGGCAAGCACACACGTACACACGTGCACACACACACGCACCTGAGCGATTCGGAGAGCGGTGTGAGCGTGCCGTCGCCGCGCTCCAGCACGCGGAAGAAGTTCAGCTGGTCTCCCTCCCGGAACACGAGCAGCGTCACCTGCTTGTTCGCCGGCAACTTGTCCAGGATCTCCTCGCGGTTCTCCTCCATGTACTCAGCCATCTCGCGCACCGCCGGGTCCTCCACCGCCACTGCGCCATACACGCGGCCGTCATTATCACTGAAGGTGTGCCGAGACTCGCACCCCCCAGTGGCCGTCCACCATAGGCGATTTACGTGTTGTGAAGAATAGCCGGTGCCTGAAACGTCGCCTATTATAGTTTTTTTTTTGCTACTGTGCGACAACTGCGAGATATAGAAGAGGTTGGAAAGTGTTGGTGAAGAGGTGTGCGACAACTGCGAGATATGGAAGAGGTTGGAAAGTGTTGGTGAAGAGGTGTGCGACAACTGCGAGATATAGAAGAGGTTGGAAAGTGTTGGTGAAGAGGTGTGCGACAACTGCGAGATATAGAAGAGGTTGGAAAGTGTTGGTGAAGAGGTGTGCGACAACTGCGAGATATGGAAGAGGTTGGAAAGTGTTGGTGAAGAGGTGTGGGTGGTGGCATAAATAGCTTAGGTCATGATGACATCTTGAATCCAGCACGGATGCAATTGTGGCACCGAGGATGGCCTGCTCTAATTGTAATTCCCAAGAGTAGTGTGAAAAAAAACGAATAAACTAAATCATCCATGAGCCCAAATAAAAATGAAATAAAAAACATAAAACTCACCACCTCTATCACTAGCAAATGTGTAAGAGAGCTCTGCAAGTGACATCTTGGACTCATTTACAGCAGTAGAGCTTGTTTAACATCCAGTCATGGTTAAACTAACACCGCCTCATTGTTAGGCAATGTATTTTTGGTGATACCATCGCTGTGTAAAGACAGTGACCAATTACAAAAAAAGATAGACTGTTTGCAATGTTGAACAAGTACAAACAAGGCCCTCCTAGCTTTGTCATTAACACCACCATATACTACGTGACCAAGTCAGCCAGGATCTGCCTGATCTCATCACGTTTGAAACCTGGAGAGTGCTTGTACAATGAATCTTAAAATTGGCTGCAAAAACTTATGTGTTAAGCAACTCAGCACATTCCAACATAAAAAAAATATATCAGTTCCTACTGGCCACGTTTATTTCAACCCAGATAATGTGGGTGCCTCCGCACATATATTACGCTGCAGCTGCAGGCGCCAACCACTAGCCCCGCCTCGCAGAGCGAGCGCCGGATTAGCGGTGAGCGCCACCCCCCCCCCCCCCCCGGGCTTGGCACGGCAACAAGCGACAAGGTCTGCTGCCCTCGGCTCGGCATTTCTGTGCTCACTGACCTTTGCGCGTGTTGATAGGTCCTCCCCTCATGGCTAGTACCAGCTTGATGGTGCAGCCATGCGTAATGCTAGGAACACACGGAGGAAAAGCGCGAAGTCATTTTACCAACACATCGGACCAAATCCCGGCACCCCCTCCCTCGCCCCGAGCCACTGAGCAGCAGGAGGGCGGCCAGCACTGTCAACAGATTTACTGCTGGCGTTTGTAAACAAGGTCCCCAAGCAAGGTTAGAGGGGCAGGGAGCCATAATCCACAGCATAGCCACGGGGATTTACACTTTAGCCTCAGAGTGTCAGAGTTAACACATCATCAGTTTACACAAGGAATTTAAAAATATATGCGATGCATTATGTATGGTCAAACAAACCACTGTGGTGAAGTATGCTTAAACAAACGTCCATGACCAATATGGCATTGGGATGTCTTTGATCGCCAAAGCGTTGAAAAATATTGTTATGATTAATCATATCAGGTAACAAGGCCCTGTACGCCCGATGACAACTTGTTTGTGTGCAAGGTGGACACAAACCCAAGCACCTGACACAATTCATTATTTTGCTGGACATCTGTGAATAAAGAGCTTCATAAGTCATCGGATTCCTCCAGTATAAATAAAAATTCTGATTCCGATTGAGATGTGACACCTGCTTTTTAAAATGTACAGTGCACAACTAAAAAAATCTTAGAAGGTTTGTTGTCAATCCACTGCTGGATGAGAACCTCCCTATGGCAGCGTACTGCCCTCTACTGTTCACGAATATTACACGGTAATACATATTTATTCAGTAATAACACTGTAACAATTGTATTTTGTTCCTGGATAGTAAGTGTTATTTCCTAACTGCTTATGCCTCAAAAGTACAGAAAATGGCTATTATTCCCCACAAATTTTGCTTTTGTGACCAGGACAGTGATATTTTGAATTGTACTTACTTTCAATGAGAAAACGGGTGAATATGTCTTTTCGTTCACATAAAGTCAGAAAACAACATATTAATCAAAATTTACATGTATTTATACTAATGTAATACAAAAATTACTACAAAAGATTTAGACACCAAGGCGCACTACCACAGGCGGGACTGGCCACAACGGACTGAGTTCTCTGTGGGGAGGAACAACGTCAAGTGGGAGCCACTGGTGGACCCCCGGAAGGTGCTGATGCTACCACTGCACATCAAATTGGGCCTTATGAAACAATTTGTCAGAGCTGTAGATAAGGATTCGGCAGCCTTCAAGTACCTTAAAGATTTCTTCCCTAAGCTGTCTGAGGCAAAGGTCAAAACCAGTGTTTTCGTCAGACCACAGATAAAGAAGATCCTGGAGTAGAATGAATTCCCCAAGAAGCTCACTTGTAAGGAGAAAGCGGCTTGGAACAGCTTTGTCGAAGTGGCTCGTGGCTTCCTCGGCAATCACAAGGCCGAAAACTACGTGGAGCTGGTTGAGACTCTGGTGAAGAACTACGGCACAATGGGCTACAGGATGTCCCTCAAAGTCCATATCCTTGATGCTCATCTTGATAAATTCAAGGAGAACATGGGAGTGTACTCGAAGAAGCAAGGCGAGCGCTTCTATCAGGATATACTGGACTTTGAATGCCGCTACCAAGGACAGTATCACGAGAACATGATGGGAGACTACATTTGGGGGCTGATTCGTGAAAGTGATTTACAGTATAATCGTAAATCTCGAAAAATTACTCACTTCTAAATATTTTGTAGTCATTTTTAATTACTTTAGCATAAATACACGTACATTTTCATACATATGTTGTTTTTTCTGATTTGAACGATAATATACAAATTCGCCCGTTTTCTCATTGAAAATAGGTACATTTCCAAATATCACTGTCCTGGTCACAAAAGCAAAGTTTGCGGGAAATAATAGCCATTTTCTGTAGTTTTGAGGCATAAGCAATTAGGAAATAACACTTACTACCCAGGAACAAAACGTGTTTTTGTTAGTGTTATTAGATGTGATTGGCAATGGCACTCCATGTAAAACATGGGACCAATTTAAATTTAACTTAAAAAGCCGAATGATAAAAAGCTAATTTGTATAGAACCATTAATACACAGAACTGTATTATACAAATCCTTTGTATACAATTAATAATTATTGGGATTTTTAATAAACATATTGAAAACGAAGTTTATATGAATCTTAATTTGACTATTACAAAATATTTTACGCTGGTTCCATGAAACTTCTTAACATTAAATTGTTTATATTTTAACTCTGCTTCGTGTATTTCATTTATTTTAAGTAGGCTTTACATTAAAGCCGGGGGGGGGGGGCATTAGTAACTCAGTCGTTAGCGCACTGCACTATTAATCAGAGTTCAATTCCAGCCATGGCTAACATCAGAGGCCTTCACCATCCAACACTAAATCTTGATTTAAAGCTTTCGTGACTGCAGGAATTCATATTCTTTGGGTCTTTCGGTAAAGTTACGCAGATAGGTTCAAAGAAAATAACAAAAACAAAAACGATCGCAACACAAGCGTTCGTCATCAGGAAAAGTCACGGTTAACATCAGAGGCCAACACAAGCGGTCGTCCTGATGACCGATCGAAACGTCATAGTTTTTGTTATTTTCTTTGAACCTATCTACGTAACTTACCGAAAGACCCAAAGAATACGCATCCCACACTAACCAGTTTGGTGAAGTGCGATCAACCAAACGTGCACGAGCACGATGGCATGGGGAGGCTCGCAACCAACAGTGCATTGATAAAGGCAGTGAAAATTACAATTGGATATCTCGAGCCAGAATTTATTAATATCAAACCAATTACCACTGCGCCACCCCGTCAACCCATGGTGAAGCAGTGGTAATACTCGTGGCCTTACAGCAAAGAGTGCCCGGCTCGAATTTCAACTCGCACACCTTTTCTCTGCGGAGGTTGTATATTTCCCAACCTCTTTCGTTTTGGTTTCCTCCGGATTTTCCAGTTTAAAACATCATACAATGTAACTGGTATTGGCCAATCCTACAAATCATTGAATTGGGATTATACATTGTAACATTGACCCCTTCCTGTGAAAAGTTGGCAGGACCCTCCTTAAAAAGTATTGAGCCTCTATGAGGCTTCTCTTGGTCTGCAATTAACCAACAGGAATATTGATGGTGTTAAAAAACTTACTGGTAGTCATGCAAACAGTAGTCATCCTCCAGTTCAATGTTTCTCCAAATCAGATGCTGCTGTGCGATGGGAATGCCTATGACACACACACGTTCACAAAGGTCATTAACATAAGCTACAATAACAATTCCTCCAACACCATTAAAACCACCATCAACAGACGGAAATTACTAATGATAATACCTGGAGATCGACACTTTCATCAACATCACAGACACGGGCACTCTTTATGGCTGGCACTGAAAAACATGAAGAACCTCAGAAAAGGGGGCCCATCTCGACCAGAACCAGAACACAAACTGTTGGCCGTGAAGAGCGGACCGACAAAATGGCCAATTAAAGTATTTTTCCAATTAATAAAACAAGTAAAGGTGTGGCTTTATTATAGGCTGAAAATAAATTAAAACTAAAACATAAGTAAAAAAAAATCACATGCCACATTCTATGAGGTCTTACAAGATAAAACCAATATTAAGTATGCTACTAATGGTTCAATCAATGGCCCTTCTTGACAGCGGAATTATTGGTCGATATCTAACAATGTATATTATAAATACAGGCCTCACTTAACAGTCGATCCTCACTTAACAGTGAAGCCTCACTTGGTCTCAATTTTTTGCTAGGAGGGCTCAGAATTGAGTTTTTTTTAAACAATAGCAATATGCGAGGCAACCGACGAAACCCCACCATCTTGCGGCTCAAGTTTCACAAATGCACGTGAGCCACAAAACCCACGCGTTCCATCACAGGTAGACGCACACACACACTCATTGTATCCATACTATCAGCATCAACCCATTAAATACTTTTAGTGCAAGTCGGTTAGGTAGGTGCCATTTGGAGGCACGGATAAGAGACTTGGAGTAATGTCGTCACGGGTCAGAAGTGTATTACCCGAGTAAAGGCAAATGAACTTACACAAATCTTGCCTGCAGATAAAAATTGCATAATGTGAGAGAGGTTTCATGAACTGAAGGGGAAAACGAACAGAAGTGATACGACCAAATGGGGTTACATGGTGTAGAAACGTGGTCACGGAGACGGAAGAAAGGGGAGTGCTTTCAATTACCGAGACGAGGACCCTGGTGGTGGTGAGGAATAAAGGAATCGGAGGCTTAGTTCGGACTTAGCGGGGATTTCTAATAATATATGCTCAACAAAGATGGGGCCGTGTACTTCTACGGTGTAGGCATGTGGAAGGGTCACGATTAGAATAATTATCCAAGGGAGGTGAATTCCTGAGTGAGATGGAAGAATGCGGTGGAATGAAACACGAGGACAGCGTATGCGACTCAATAGGCCGCAATAAAAGTTCATGCTTAAAGACAATCCTAGCAGCCCATGCGGTAATGGGACTGTTTGGTGTGGAAGCGAGTACCTTCTAGTCGCTGTATCTTGGCCTTCACAGACATGACGCTCTCGAAGGGCGAGACGCGGATTTCGAAAAACGTCCCGGTGAGGGTCTCGATGAGCACCTCCATTGTCTCGTAGAAGGGGAACCTGTAGCTCACGTACGGGCTCTCCTCGCTGTTGTAATAGGGCGGCTCCCGCTTGTCCATGGCGGCAGACACACGAGGATAAACACAGGCTGCCACTGGGCGGGGAACGAGGGCCTCCCCTGTGCAACCCGCAACACTCCGGGATAAAAAAATGATCGAGGGGGGCCGGGCTCTGAAGAACTGTGAGCGTGCCACGGGGAATCGGACGTCCCAAGAACCGGGGATTAGTTAACGACAAGGGCTCTCTGGAGATTCTGGCGGGGACTTCTTTATACTCCGCTCCACGGGGCCCGGTTCGGGAGGTGCCCGGGGTGGAACCCCAACTAAGCCACCGCTCAGAGACGCGTGCCGATCGCGGAGAACACGACCCCGGTACTCGGGCTCCGAGCTGCGGGGATCCCCCACGCGTCTGGCTCCGAGCCCAAGACACAAGCGGTTGCCGAGGCGAACGAGTGAAGAGACGCGCCTCCCGAAAGAGGCCACCGCATCGAGGCCTAGCGCTGCTGGATGATGCCTGGCCGGAGACGCCGCTCGCCTAGATTCGAGGCCGGCAGACGCGTGCCCCGCTCGGCGGAGTTGACCAGGCGATGGCGGGTCTCCCCAAAGTGTACGCGGCCCTTATTTATAAACGACGAGAACGGCGCCGCGTGCCGACACGAGTCCCCCGGCGTCCGATTGAGTTTGTCCGCGTGAAGAGCGAAGAGCGGAGAGCGGCTCGCCTCGCTTCGTTGACTGACGGATCGCCGCTCACCGCCGCTCACCTCCGCACTCGGTCGGGCCGCGCTGTACCGCCGTTCGCCTCCATCACTGTGACCCGGATGTTCCCTTAATGGTCATCAGCAGCAGCAGCATCATCACTAACAACAATAGCCACGTGACCACGCCGAGCCTGCACAACCGCGTGCGCTGGCACCAAAATGGGTGGCAAGTTTCATCGACATACACACAAATGAAAACAACTAAATTAAATTCTAGATTTGAAGCTTTCGTGAATGCAAGGATTCATACTCTTAGGTTTTATCGGTAAAGTCACGTAGGTAAAAATAAATAATTAATAATCCTACATTTTGATTTAAAACTTTCGTGACTGCAGGGATTCATCTTATTGGTTCTTTCGGTAAAGTCACGTCGAAGGGAAGTAATAAAATAATAAAAATAAAACATAATTAAATATTTTTTTTTATTACTTCCCTTCTACGTGACTTTACCGAAAGAACCAAGAAGAATAATCCTACATTTTATCACGACGTTTCGGAGGTAACTTACTACAGCGACTTTGGCTGTAACGGTTCCAACCTGAAGACGGAAGCTTGTGTTGCCTCCGAAACGTCGTGATTTAATGTAGTTTTCATTTATTTTATTTTATACCTACGTGACTTTACCGAAAAAACCAAAGAGTATGAATCCTTGCAGTCACGAAAGCTTCAAATCTTAAATTAAGTTTCATCGACATACACACAAATAAATAGCTTTTTTATTCTTGCTGTGGGGTTCACACCTGATGATTGCTTGTGTTGCAATCGAAACGCTGTGAGATTTTTTTTATTTCCCTTCTATGTGACTTTACCGAAAGAACCAAGAATATAAATGCATAGCTGTGAACCCATACGGTTTAGCCCCGTATTCTTGTACAGGGAAATTGAGTGTTGAGGTCCATTAGGGGTACAGCCATTTCAATACGGGCAAAAAATGTGTTTGTGTCTGTTTGTGTTTTCCCTTGTGATGGGACTTTTGTAGGATGAACGTTGAGATTTATAAGGGCACAGGGTGACCAATAAGGTCTGAATTGGTCTGTAATAAGGTAGGCAGTGAGAAGGAGTTAACAGGTATGCAGAGGGCACCTTTTGCACCGACATCGGTACACTCCACACCACACGCACACACAATGTATGGAATGAGTGCACTGGTTCAAAACGAGTGCTCAACATAACAGGGTTTTTTTTGTAGGATCCCAGTTTGGCACTGTACAGTAATTACGTCTCCAGTAAATATGGAACGTTGTTCCAATGTTGTACCAACGTTCCATGTTTACTTTTCAACATGGAATGGGCATTCCAGAATTAGCGTGTGATATTCAGTGCTTTTTCAATGGTGTGTTTTATTTTGATTTAAAGCTTTCGTGGCTGCAGGGATTCATATTCTTGGGTCTTTCGGTAAAGTCACGTAGAAGGGAAATAATAAAATAATAAAAATATAAAACAATTAAATTCTCACGACGTTTCGACTGCAACACAAGCAATCATCATGTGTGTTTTATTGTTTTTAAATATACATATGAAGCAATATAAATTACATGATAAGCTGAAAATCTGGTGGACTGGAGGTCTTTATGGAAATACCTGAGGTTTGTTAAGAATCGGATTATGGATACAGGGACTCCTCTACTTACGAACATTCAACTTACGAAATTTCAGAGATACGAATAATCCTGTCCATATGGCCAGTTGCCCGTTCAGACCAATAGTCGTAAGTTCAACCGCCACGCAATAGATGACATCTACATCTGCAGAACATGAAGAACAAATTGCATCTACATCTGCAGAACGTGAAGAACCAGTGACATCTTCATCTGCATACGTTGAAAAACCAGTGGCATCTACATCCGTAGGAGATGATACAACTTTTAAAGCCATTCAACGTGTTTCGTGTACACGCCGTACAACGTGTTTGAAATCGACAGGAGTAAAGTTGGGACTTACGAACACATCGACTTACGAACAGACCTCTGGAACCGAACTCGTTCGTAAGTAGAGGAGTCCCTGTATACCGGGGGGTTACGTCACTTCCCAATCCCCCCACCCCTCCCACACACCCAAAGCTAAGACCCGCCCCTCTTTCAACCTCATGGCCCCGCCCCTTACGACGCCGTCCAATCACAGAGCGGCAAGACGTCGCCATTTGGTGGCCACGCCCACTGTTGCCAGGGTAACGGCCAACGGCAGCCGGCGCGTGTAGGAGTGGAAATTCAAATCTAGAATGAGTGGAAATTATTTATTGATTTGAAGCTTTCGTGACTGCAATGATTCATATTCTTAGGTTTTTTCGGTAAAGTCACGTAGGTAAAAACATCAAAATTAATTAAAATAAAATAAAGATCACGACGTTTGCCTCCGAAACGTCGTGATCTTTATTTATTTTATTTTTTATTAATTTTGATGTTTTTACCTACGTGACTTTACCGAAAAAACCTAAGAATATGGAAATTATTTATTGATTTGAAGCTTTCGTGACTGCAAAAATCCATACTCTTTGGTTCTTTCGGTAAAGTCACCTAGGTAGAAACCACCTTGGTTGTCCTACCTGATGACGATTGCTTGTGATCTATTATTTTTTTCTACCTACGTGACTTTACCGAAAGAACTAAAAATATGAAAATTATATTCTTGGTTCTTTCGGTAAAGTCACGTAGAAGGGAAATAATAAAATAATACAAATAAACAATATAATTATCACGACGTTTCGATTGCAACAACAAGCAATCATCATCAGGTGTGTTTTATTTTTTAGAATTGTATTATTTCCCTTCTACGTGACTTTACCGAAATAACCAAGAACATGAATCCCTGCAGTCACGAAAGCTTTAAATCAAAATTTATGTAAAAAAATGTTTAGTTTTATTTGCATGTTTTTTATTGATTATTTACCGTTGCTATACTTTGCACTCCTATTGATTTTTTTGTATCGTTTGCTGCAACGTTCTGACCCACCCCGACTGAAACGTTTGTGAAAAAGAGCTTAACAGCTCATCGGATTCCTCCTGCAGTATAAATAAATATTATGATTCTGTTCTTCTTGGTTCTTTCGGTAAAGTCACGTAGAAGGGAAGTATTTTTATTATTTTATTACTTCCCTTCTACGTGACTTTACCGAAAGAACCAAGAAGATGAATCCCCGCAGTGACGAAAGCTTTAAATCGAAAATTATGATTCTGATGTTACTTTCCTATGCCAGGGAGCTCTCGAAGAGCCCCCCTCTCTATGGAGTGCTTAACATTGGACGTCAGCAAGTAATGGGGCCGTCCATAAATGACGTCACGCGATTTTGGACAATTTTTGACCCCCCCCCCCCTCGTCACACGGCGTCACAAAAAGTCAGACCCCCCCCCCTCAAATGTGACGTCACAAAGCTCTGCCCCCCCCCCCCAAATAAAAATGCTTCAAATCGCTTTAAACTATTGTCATTGTAGTGCATATTTAATGTGGCGCTGCACTCTGATGTTGTAGGACGTCACGCACCTGGGGGGGGGGGTGTCAGACATTTGTGACGATGTGTGACAGGGGGGGGGGGGTGAGAAATGTGACGTCACATCAAAATGCGGAACTTTAAATGAATATAGACAACACGTTCTATCTTCTTGGTTCTTTCGGTAAAGTCACGTAGAAGGGAAGTAATAAACTAATAAAAATAAAACATAATAAAATCAAATAATTCTCACGACGTTTCGGCTACAACGCAAGCAGCCGTCTTCAGGTGAAGAATGAGACACTGCCAAGCTAGGAGCTTATATATACGCTGGGTTGGAGGTGCAAGAGCGCCTTAACAAAAAGAATGTGCATATCAAGAGGAATTTAGCATATTCATGGGAAAATGCGTAGGAGGTCGGCGGGGGGGGGGGGGGTTTCAAGTCATATTATGCCCATGCATTATGCAGGATCAGCAGAACCAACACGTTCTACTTAATTAAATGGACTTTTTAATAAATGTTTTCTCCTACAACATCAGAGTGCAGCGCCACATTAAATACGCACTACGATGACAATAGTTTAAAGCAATTTGAAGCATGTTTCATTTTCAAAATGGAAATATGGTTTTGGGGGAGGGGGGGCAGAGCTTTATGACCTCATATTTGAGGGGGGGTCAGATTTTTTGTGACGCCGTGTGACAAGGAGAGGGGGGGGGGTCAAAAATTGTCCAAAATCGCGTGACGTCATTTATGGACGGCCCCTAATAACAATTGCACGCACGTAACACTCTCATCGTCGCGGTGACGAGTCCAAAGAGGTCAGGGGAATTGAAACGTCGAGGGGCAAGTCTAAAAAGGGGGAGGGCAAGGGGGCTCGTTCCTCTCCCGTCCAATCACAGCGGGATCTCGACCGCCACGTGGTGTGCCAAAGCTCCCGATGACGTCACGACGGGAGTCACGTGAGGCCTATATAAGAGCGGCGGTCGTTGGGGAGCAGCGATCAGACCTCGCCGACGCGCGAGGAGGGAGGGTCGTTGTTGGTGCTGCAACTGCACGCGGCTCTGTTAACGTACAAATTATCGTCTTTCTTAAGGGTTACGTTAATTACAGGTGACAGCTACGTTGCAATAGCCTCGAGCGAATGCACCACGCAGACATTGTGCTGGCGTGGGTGGTTTCCCGCCCCCTCTTCACCTCTTCAAAGTTTGGGAGTTTAATGCGATAAGCGTGGTGCGTGAGGCGCTCCGGTGAAGGATATTTATTTATTTGAATTGGTGTGCAGCTGAAGAGTTGAAAGTAGAAGGCAAGCTGAACCGAGTTTTAAAGCGCGATCCGGGAATGGATTAAGGGTAAGGTATAGAAAAGTCGACGTTTCGGACCGGACCCTTTTTCACAACGCGTTGCTTTGCCTTCATCCGTGCGCAGAGCGTCTTAGGCGACGGTGGCGTTATTGACGCATGTGTTGAGTTTTGTTTAGTGTGTGTAACTTGTACCGAGCCAACATAACCGAAATGTTTAACTTAGAGGCGAGGTCGGTTAATGCCTGGACATAATGTACAGTGCATGTGTTATGTATACAGTACGTCTACGCCGTCATGCATGTGCGTGCGACATGCGTGTACACACATTTGCTATGCCAGCTTTTACGTACGATTTAGCAAGCGTTGCTCGCGACGACAACAAAAGGCATTGGCGCGATGACTTAATTGCACTGAATAATTAAAATATCGTCGTGTTGATATTTTGCGCGCACTGTACGGTGTGCGACAATGCAGCTCCCAACGCGCCCCGTGTGTTTACTACGGACACATTGCGTTTGAGCGCAAAGTACACACACGTGTCGCAGTGACACATGGGCATCGTGGTGGGTGGGTGGTGGGTGCCATGTGCCTCTAACCTGCGTGTGGAATCGCAACAGAGCCGTGATGAGTGCGTGTGTCGATGGGTGCTGCGTTCAACAGCTGCTCACAGAGAGGGCGGGGGGCGATCCACACACCATGGCCACTCGTGCGTACGCATGTAAACACAGACCCACGCTGCCTGCCATGTCTTCCTACACTCATCCTCTCCACTCAGCCCGCTTTCTTCTCCACTCTCCCCTATTCCAGGGGTGGGAAATCTCATGTCCACCGGCCGTAGCCGACTCACGACTTCAATTCACACGATCCCGAGGAGGCCGACCAAACGATATCTTTCCGTTCCTGTCTGGTCGTCGGATTTGATTCCACTCTGCTCTCGTCATCATCTTCTCTCTGATCTCCCCCCGTGTCTCCACTCGTCCTCTACTCTCTGCGGTACACTCAGCCCTCTCCATTTCACCAGCAATCACCCCTCCATATCCCTTTCTTTGCTCCTCCTGCCCTGCAGCGTTAATTGATTTGTTGATTTATTTATTGATTTATTGTAGTCGTAACTTTCATCCACTCATCGTCACTGTAAACTTTGCAATCCTTAAGCCAATTTAATGGCGAGTATATTTGTCACTAATTTGGTTAACACATTAACGCTTGAAACCCATCGCAGCAACAGGAGAATGTGCGCAGGCTGGAAACGAATAGATTTAACAGCACGCAAATGTGCACTTGATGCCCACAAACGGCAGGAAGGGCTTGGATTGGGCTGGGTGTTAATTCATTCCAATATTTTGTTAGGCTGGGCAGTTTCCTCATATCCTCCTCTCAATGTGTAACGTACTTCCTCTCTGCCGCATGTGTTTTCACCTGATTAACATGAACAGGAATCGTGCCCGACACCGCAATGCAGGACCTTTCTGTAAACCCGTCTTTCTTTCCTGGGGAAACGATCATAATAATGCAGGAGAAAAGAAGTTGGTTCTAGATGGAGCAAATGGAGATTGTTTTTTGCGGAGAGCGGAAAATTTGGGCAGCTGTAACTTCAGTGCTAATCGTCATGAAATTGGTTCTCATTTTGTGGCTATGACTTATCCTGGAACCCAACTTTTGTGCTGCCAACTTGCTATCACAGCTTATGTCATCAATAGTGGCAGCCAGTTTGCCAATATTGCATTGTCAACCAGTCTCGTGTTGTGTTAGATTTTGTTAAACTGGTTCTTGCTGCCTGTCAACTCCTTCCCCGTCTCGGGCATGTGTTAATAGCTTTATGCTACCGTCATACCGGTGGAGTGGTTGGCATGGGCCCTGGTGCAAGCCATAAAATAGGGGTCCTGCCTTTCTGTCCGCCTTTCCGGGTATGGGGTCTTTGTAGCACGGCATCTGGGACCCTCCAGCCTCTGCAACTGGTGCAGTTGTACGACCTGCACACTCAATGTCTGTGCCACTCTGTGATAAACCGGTGGTCAATGTGGGCCGGTGTATGATGGCACTTCTGACGACAACAGACAAGTCTTCCGGCACTGTGCAGAACAGTTCCTATCCCAATCCTACACTATTTCCACAGAGGGGAAGTGACTGTGAGTGTCGGAGTGAAAGGGTATGAGGGTTTGTACGAGCGTGTGTGAGTAGCAGTGAACGTTATCTGCGGAGCGAATAGGTTTCATACTTCTACATTTATGCTTTGACCACTGATAATTAATCTTGTCACTGTGCAACAATCTAGAAAGCATGGTGAAGGAAGGAAGGAAGATGATGAGCAATAATGGCAAACTGGCCGGCACAATTCATGGCCATAAGCTGTGAGTTGGCAACACACGGTTTGGGTAGCAGGTGAAAACCTTCAAAAGGGGCCATCCATGTAGTGGGTACGCAAAAATCTGTCAACTTGACCCCTCTCCCCCTCCCTGTACGCACGCGTACTTTTTACACCCCCCCCCCCCTCCACCTGCGTACATACGCTTGACCCCCCCCCAGAATCCTATATTTAATCCATGCAGAAACGATTAAGGATTAATAATATTAACGTGTTTACGCAAATAGTCCACCGCCGGCTGCATTAAAGAATTAAGTTGCCTACCATTAAAACGTTTGTCTCATGTCCGCTAGGTTCAAACGCCGACTGTACCCAGTCGAACAGGTGACGCATTATAGGAATTTCGTCAACACGCGCAATGTCAGGTCGAAGCACAGCAGCGTGATAGCTGCAGTCAGGGGCACGGTGGCATACAAGTAACACCTCTCCCACAGGCCTACTTCTCCTGGTAGTACTTGTCTGACAACTGAAGAAACTGAACTGTGGCTCATTTCAAGGCCAATGTAGACAAATTATTATTATCGAGGCTTCACCCCCCCCTCCCCCCGTTTCCTATGCGTACGTACATTGTCAGTAGACCCCCCAGACGTAAGCGTATGCATTTGGGTTAACCCCCCCCGCCCCCCTCCATGCGTACGTACTAAATGGATGGCCCCTAGCCACAACATCTCCTAACCTCCATTTATAGCTTTTTTGTTGTTAGATCTAACCTCGTTGTGAGATTACTTAGTTTTTTCACTGTGGGACAGGTACGCTCACCACATTTAATAATAATATGAATAGTGCCGGTGAATTTTTGTTTTGTCCACCAAAGCCTCACCGAGGCTCAAGGGGTGTCCTGCTGCATTGGAGGGTTTGGCAAATTCCTTGTGTTTGCTTCGTGTGGGAGGAATCAGAAAATTCCATCTCCTGGCCCACATCTCAGCCACACACCTACAACACTTGGCAAGGCCAGATGGTGACGGGCCAAGTACTCACCAGGCTCCATCCTGCTTAGCGGGCACATTCCGGGCACGTTCCGAGTGATTTGTTACAGAGGTCATGTCAATAGGTCTATCTTTCCCTTCTGTGCTCTTGGCTGTCTGAAAATCGCGCTAATGTTTTACGCAGTGCAAATATGGGAACAGATAATCATCCCAGGTAGTAGGCTGCCAAAAAAAACATCGACTAAAGATTTACAAAGCAAAGATAAAATAATTACAGGGGGAAAAAAAACACATTAACCCACACTCATCAATTAAAAATAAGTATCGACAAGCGTTCCTGTGGAGAATTTTAAAAAGCAGCAGATAAACAGACATTACAGCTCTTTTTTATATTTGTCCACATAAAAGAAACATTCTATTCCACATATCACCCCACGCAGCCTTCTGTGAGTGTCTGATTCGACAACATTGGTTTTATGTGATAACTCTGGACCAGTTTCGTCATTCAAGTGTCAAGCCAGGACTCCTATCTAACAGAACGCATCCTTGCCTATAACCATCTGGCAGTTCACCAGCATTGATTCATAACAAGCCTGACTGCTGATGAGACACAATGTCAAAACCGGTCCAGAGTTTGAGTGAACGTATGCTGCTGAAGAGATGCACTCCCAGACATTCCTCGATTGCTCAATAACAGTAATAGTGCTGTCCTGTTATAGAAAGGTCAATTTGGTCAATCCATTTATCCTTTTTACTTAGCATTCACCTTCATCCAACCAGCTGGGGACCAGGTGAAATTCCTTGTTGGGGTATGAATGAGCCTGAAAGCACTGGGATTTATAAAATAAATGCCACATTCTCTGGATTTTATGAAGATCCGGAGACCAACGCACACCCCTACCTCGAGCCCTGTGTCAGTAGAGTTCTACTAACCTGGTCACACGCGCACACATCTACTGGATTACAAGACGTTCCCCCAACCATTGCTTTAAAATACACGGCGGGGAAATGGCACGTCTGATAATCGAGACAATACGGGACCACTCTGTGGGTGGCGAAATGTGGACAGGCCAGTGGATACACTGGCCCCATGATGGGAAATTGGAATTTGCAGCTCTGGCTCATGACCACGAACAGAGATGAACACCGCGCGTTGCTCAGCAGAGAGACGTTCGCTTCGGCTGTAACTGTGAACGGGCGCTCGTTCAGCAAGCCTTGTCGAGCCACGAGACTACACACGAGGATGTAAAGCTGGCACTGCTGCTATATATAGGTACAATAACAGTGCAGAGCAAGACTCGTGGCTCATACCACAGTCACTCTGCATTATAAGACCCACTTCTTCCCTGCATGTGCTCTATGAAGTAGGCGTGCATGTGTAACCAGATATTTATAACTCTATTGTTCGGGGGTGCGTCTTTCCTTCCCGAGTGTTTCATAACTCAGAGAATGCGGTGTTTATGGCGATGTTGCCCTGTGGTGGTGACTGGCCAGCCTCACCACCAACTCCCAAGTCCTCACAAGCTGAGGCCCAACTGTTTAATTTCTCCCTATCCCCATCAATAGAGAGTGGCCAGGTGGCCTAGCAGGAATTGCAGTTTACGAGTTCAATTCCGGGTTGGGGGTCGACTCGCTCAATCGTACCTTGGGTCAATCAAATGATTACCAGCTTGTGGGGAGGTCGGCAGTGGTTGTTGTACAAAGAGATTCACCTCTGCCAAAGGAATGTGGCATTTCCACCATTGGCTCTGGATTGCAAACAGATGAGCACCAATGCCTCAACGCTCATTTGAGCAGTACATCGCTTTGCCTTGACCATCAAGCTTGACCCCACTGAGACTCGCAGTGCCCTTGCCTATAAGAGCCGTCACACGCGACGTTGGGATTGCGTAACCTGCTTGCGACTTATACACCCCGGGCTCGTCAAGAGTGAACTTCTCCGGGGCAAGCCCGTTTGCACTAGACCGGACGACTGGATGTAACGGGGTCGATATTTCACCGTGTATCACTTTCCTCTCCCCCCGCAGCCCAGATAACTATCAGGACGACGAGGGGGCAAGCCTTGAGCAGCTCGCCCTGCTGTTGGACACTGTTGCCCCACCTACACACGCACACACCTCTCAGCTCCCCGGCGGCGCACGTCACCGTTCAGGTACAACGAAGGTGGCGACGCTGCTGAGAGTGCTATCACGTGTCTCGCCGTGCGGTCGCACTCTCGTTATGCGATCGCGCGTCTCGCTATGTGGCGATGAAGTCACGGGGTGCTCGGGTTGCGCAACAACACGGTTGTTTAACTCGGCATTGACCCGTCCGGAGCGGTTCCCTCCTGCGCAGACCGGCAGTGCGCGTGTGAGTTTACATTCGAGATTTCTTACACGCATCTCGGGGCACTCACATTCTTTATTTTTTACACAAAACGAGAATACATCGGGTGGCACGGCACTAGAGCAAGCGACTCGCATTCAAAAATAGGTTGCGAGTTCAAATTCTGGTTGGGAATTGACTCGGCCCATTGTCCCTCCACGAGTCGATTTAAATGAGTACCACTCTGTGGGGAAGTCAACAGTGGTGGTCCTATGGATCGACTCGCACCCGTGCGATGAGAATGAAGGCAATGCTCACGTGGACAGGAAGTGGCTTTGACTTCGTCCTGTGTCTGGAATATACCTCTGTGTGTGTTTTTCTTTCTGGCCCTTATTTGTTTATCCGATTTGGTCGTTAGGAAACAACTAGCGGCCTTTACAATAATGACAGCTCTCAGCTCTCCGCGTTACGTGTTCTCCCGGGGTATGTCCTGTGCCCCCCCCCTTCGTAGAATGGAAACGTGCGTATTTACAGGCAGTGATCTGACCCACACACATTGCGTTGGTTATATTTATATATCGCTTGGCCCCTGATTGGTCAAACCTGAACGTGGGACACACACCCTCGTGTGTTCTAACACTGGACCCTATGTGCCCTTACCGCATGGACTTGTACGCCACGTGTGCTATTAGTAACAGCCACCAGTCATGGCTCGCAGCAAGAAGTGGCCTGGGTTTGATTCTCAACTTTGGTACCTTTTCTGTGTGAAGTTTGTCTGTTCACCTCCTGTACTACAGTGAGTGAGTGTGTAGAGTTGGTATGCTCTCCTTCTCTGCATGGGTTTCTTCCTGTATTTCCATTTTCCTCCCATAGCTGAATAAAAAACACAATGTAGCTGGTAATGGCCAAAAACATCCCCATACCCAAAGAGTTACCTGCGTATTACTCACTTGGGATACCCGTCGCAGCAACATCACCCCGTTACTCTGTTGTGTTATACAGGTAGGAACAACAGTTCCACACTGCCCAACAGGGATTATTTGTCTGTCTGTCTGTCGTGCATAGCCACGCCCTCGATTTGTATTTCATAGAGCGCTGCGGGCGGGCTCGGCACCACGTGACGCACCGCCCCACGCAGCTTGCGCAGCCTGACACGGTTCGCACGAATGCGCTGTCCAACCAAGTTCCTACCTGCCCACTCCGAAGGAATGTGTTACCAGTGGTTCTCAATCAGCGGGGGGTGCAGGCTGAGGCGGGATTGACGGGCACGAGAAGTTTCCGACATGCGCGAGGAGAGCGGCAGTGCCCGCGTTGCAGCGAAACGCTCCCGATGGCTGTTTTTTTACCGCTAAGCCTGGAGGCGCCAGGTTGTTTTTCCACTGCAGAATCCGAACTGCGCCGCTAACGTCACGTGCAACGAGCGAGATGCGCGTGGATCACGTGGTGACTTGCAGACTTGCCCATGAATGGGGCAGGGAAGGGTGGCTGTGGGGGCGTGGTGCCAGGTGGTCTTGATGATTTGGTGAGGTGAGGGGTGTGGGAGCACGATACCCAAAAGGTTGGGACCACCGTGTTATACCCATTTTGACGAATGCAGCCACTCTAAGTATCCCCCACAGTGGGTAGCACATTACTGGGCCACATCCGAGCCAGCGTTGGGCAATCCTGCGTTCGTGTCAAAGTATCGGTGGCGAAATTATATTCATTGATGTGTCCCACCCGTGACCTTCCGTGCTTCAGCACTGTTGATGATGTGAAGGGCCAGGCACCGCCGCTGTTGATAATGTCAACCGCTCGTGTCTGCGTCACTCTCGCCTGGTCACCCGGCCGTCACGGGTGCCGTATTGATGACGCACGTCACTGTCCCGACCCCTGTCTGCGTGTGTCTCAGTGTCTCGAGATATGTTTGTGTCTCTCCTCGTCTTTCAGAGTATCTCACCCCTGTTATGTTCGGGGGGCCCTCCGCATGTGGCCATTTAGTGTCCATTCTCATGTCTGTCTCTCTCCATGTCACAATGTGTATGTCTCTCTCTCCAGCTCTGCCTCCCCGTGTCTCTCACCATCTCTCTCTCTCCATGTCTCTTTCATCTATGTCTTTATGTCTCTCTGTCTCTCGCTCCCTCTCCGGCTCTGTTTTTCTGTCCACGTCTCTGTTTGTCTTTCTGTGTCCCCAATGCACCTCTCTCGCCGCTGTTTGCTCAGATCCGCACGTAACGTTGAGTCAGCGCCGGGGGGCCGATGACTGCTCGTGAATGCGACCTCCGTGTATGCCTCTGGCACCACCACACGTCACGTTTTGGCTTGCGGAATCCGAGTGATGGCACGTGGGACTTGCGGCGGTGGGGGGTGGCGCTCCGGTTACAGGTCCCGCAGTCCCGTGCTGCGTGCGGCGCTCCAGTGTGTTTACGGGCACCGGGTTAGAGTCACATTTGGACAGCCGTGCATAGTTAGCTGCGGTGACTCCGTCTTTATAGCAACCCGAACCTATTTTTTTAATTAAACCACAAATTACTGAATTGAGAGATACAAAATAACACTTAACAATGTTGCCCCCTACTGTGAAAACTTGGCAGGACCCTCCCTGAAAAAGAGCCCTTTGACTCGGAGGGGAAGGCTTTTGTTGTCTATTTTGTCCCCTGCCGCGCAGGATTCGGAACCGACTCGGCGCCGGCGCCTACCGTGGGATGGCCGCGCTGCTGGTGCGGCTGCCCAGGGGCCGGCACGCCGCAGTACTCACCGGGGCCTCGCGGGGGGCGGGCCGCCCCCACCGGGCCGCCCCCAACCCCGACGGGCCCCTGGCGCGCTGCTGGCTGCACGCGGCGGCGCGGCGGTGGCGCGCGCGCTCGGAGCGGGACGACCGCCCCGCCGTGTGGGACAACTTCGGCATCTGGGACAACCGGTTACAGAAGGAGCCCATCATGCTGCCGCCCAGCATCAAGGTGTGTGGGCATCGCCGCCACCGTCACCTAATGTCACCTCCGTGTCGCGAATTAATCAGGAATAATGACGCAGAGCACCTTGCATTGCTTTTCATTTCAACGATTCAGAGGGCATCCCCCTTGGCAGTTGTTCCCGTGCGGCACAAGCTGACTCAGCACTTGGTCTGCAAGTGGACTTTATTCTGCCGGTAGGGGGCGACGATTGCTGCCGTGTATGTGATCCCAATTGAGTGATTTGCCGTGCCATTGTTTTTATTTGCCAAATTTGGACTGTCCCTGCTGTGACACGAACCCACGTATGGGATCTCTAATGTCTCCTGTGAAGTAGATGGCTTGTATTTACTCACAGTATTAACAAGAGCAGCCTGCTTGATTCGAATCGCGAACCTTTGCAAGCGAGCTGGCAAACACTACCACTGGGCCATGTCACCACACTCGATAAATAATAAGAACAGTAACGATACTTTGCAATGTGTAATTTTTATTTGTTAAGCACACTGTTTTAATTATGACACCTTTTGGAGACGAGCGGGAAGGCAGCCAGAACCAGTATGTTCCCAAGCTCTGTGATCCTATATTGCCACTCCCCATGTCATGTCGGTCACAGGGGTCGTTTGACCATACTTCACCATGCAGGTCAACGTGGGTTGGTGAAGGGAAATCTACCGGTTCAGTTGTCGCTGCTGGCATCTGGGACAACCGGTTGCAACGGGAGCCCATTCGGCTGCCGCCCAGCCTCGGCATTCCAGAGTCGCATGACCTTTGATTAAAAAATGTAAAAGATGAGAAAAATGTAAAGGCGCAACCCTGCAATTGCTTACTGGTGCCACTGCTGGCGGAAGGGCCTCCACTAGAGGGAGCTCGAGAAACGCCGCTCAAGAGTGTTTTGGTCCACAGTGCGATGTATGTAGGCGGAAAGTGCTGTCACATGCTGCTCAGGTGCGTCATGTGTTATGGGGAATGGTGGTGCAGTGTTTAGCGCACCGCACTACGGATCCGGCTACCTGAGGTCAATTCCCACTCGCAGCCAATACCAGCATCAGTGACGAATATCTGAATGGGTCCTGGGCCTCCTGTAGGTCCTTGAATGAGTACTTGGTGCGGTGTGTAAGCATCCCCACTGGGGAGACAAAGGTGGCTGGGCGCAGTGCTTGTTACACTGTGCTGGTTACACTGTCTTCTTGTGTGTCATGTTTGATATTCGTTGGTGCTCACTAACAGCACATTGCTCCAACAGTCTTAAGGCTATACGGGGATCTTTGTCTTTTCTTATGAATGTTGTGTTGGGGGTGGAGCTGGCATTGACAAGAGCTTGGGGGTGTGTACGCCCACGTAACCTCAATATGAACGCGTCTTGTTTACACACTCGTGCTGCCCCCTTGACGTGAAACCAGCCCAGGTGGTTTCCACGAAGTGCGTGGGGTCTGTTTTATTGTTCCGTGACGAAATCGGCCACCGAACCGAGAACGCGGCGCAGCGAGGAATGGAAAACCGCGTGTGGGTAGAAGCCGCACACGACCGCCGAATACCACGTTTTATATTTCCAGCAGGGAGTTGTGTTCCCGTCGGCGTGTTTAATCTGCCAGCCAAATGACCACGCGCACATTGCTTCAGAGTTCACTGGCATTGGCACAAGCAAGCATGACTCTTGCTGATTAGACATTGAATGTCGAAACTGACATGCTGCCGATATCATGCACTTTCAGGAGGACTTGTTGCTGATGGGATGTTTAGTCAAAAATATATATTTTTGTGCAGATTGACTGCTATGGGAAGGAGGCGAGTTGTCCTGTCCGCCAGGGTATCTTGATTTGAGAGTCGACTGTGGTTCGGGTCATGCTGCTTTCCGTGCGATTGCCGATCTCTGGCCACGGCAGCGCACGGTGCTGGTTAAGTTGCATATGAAGGGAAGAGTAAAGTAGACGGGGAAAATCTGCGGTGAGGCCCGGCGTTTGGGGAAACTCTTTTCGGCACCCAGGGCGACGTGGCCTGGCGGTATCGCAGAGGTTCGCAGTTCGAATCCGTCAGGCCGCCCTGATTATTACTGCGAGTGTATGAAAATGTAAATACCACGTATCACAGTGGATTTTAAAGATCCGGTGACATTTGAAAAGAGAAGGGCCCGTTGTGTACTGGCATCGGTGTCCAAATTTGCCAAATTGTAAAATACACAGCAAATGACTCAATTGGGATAGCACTCAGCAACATCGCCCCCTCCTGTGGAACTACTTTCATGATTCACGGCGGCATGAGGGCCTTTGCTATGAAGAAGGGGCATTGCCCGAACGTCGCCTATTGTATATATTTGTACTTTTAAGGCGACAGCGTTTGATCGACAAACTTGTATATATTTTGGACTTATTTCGTACCGTACGTAGCCAACCGTACTTATTGGAGGTGTGTGGGAAGGACAACAAACTAAACACCAAAGTCAGTTCTAAAGAAGTGAGTTTTCAATCTGGATTAAAAGCGTATCGCTCCATTGGCTTCCTAATATCAGAACGAAGAGCGTTCCAGACGGCCGCAGAAGCGCATCTGGAAGCGCGAGTTTGTTATTCGTGCTTGTGCACCACTGCCAAAGCAGCAGCACCAACCACTCTGCTTGCTGTTCACTCCAGGCCGCTTGGTTATGTTTATACTTGAGCAGCCGTCATTTATTCCACGTGGCCTTAATATCTCTACCCCCTACCCCCCCCCCGGCCAGAGAACCGTCATCTGCCGATTACTGTCAGGGCTTTGGCACGCGCACTCGTCAGCTCAACGAGATCTCTCTGTTGCATCAGCCATGGGCGCATCGTTAATGCAGTCGGTTGATTTCCCCCTCGGCGTTTCGCAATGTGATTGTCAGGTGGGACTGAAGCGTGACTATGTGTGCATGTTGAGACTTATTTCACCGTACGTAGCCGACCGTGCTAATCGGAGTTGCGAGGGGAAAGATAACACAAACTAAACATAAAAAGCAGCTCTCAAAGATAGTTTAGCTCCAGTGGCTTCCTAATATCGGATAAACTGTGCCACATGTACTGTGTAGTGGCTGAACGTCTTATTGATAGTTTATTGCTGTTGATTGTGTTGGGAAGGAGCTGCTTGCTGCGTAGAGAAGGAGTCCAAGCATCAGCTGCAGGAACGCAGAGCTCCTCCTGCCGTTCTGGGTCTGGTACTACTAATGGCGGGGCTGACACAACCAGGCTTATTAAACGATAATCGGACTCGTTTATTGGTAATCGGTTACCGATTATGTGAACTCACAAACCGACAATCGATTCCAGTGGGGGGCGTTCGTAGGAAGCGTACCCACACTTTATCCCACGATGTCACCTGCCGACGAGGTGTGTAGTACCCCTTTCTTCTGCTGGGTGGACGGAGGGGTGGGGGGCGGGTGCGGGAGGGTTTGAGAAACCTCTTCCCCCCTTGTTTCAACTGCCGCGCCTGGAGGAAAGAATAGAACTGGTGATGTCTGGACTACAAGTCCAGTGTGCTGACCACTACACCACTCACTTTTGTTTCCCAGCTAAAATCGTACACACCTTACATTTGTTGCTGGAGACATTTCAAACCGGTGACCGTTTTTTTTTTTTACGGGGTGTTTCATGCGATTTCTCGTTAACACCAAAAAAACAACTGTGCTGACAATCGTTCTGAACCACACCTGGGCCAAAGCCCGACATCGTCGGTAGATGTTCGTGGGCAGTGGGAGTGGACGACGACCACACCTCTCACCACCTTCTCCTTCGGAGAGCTCCTGCAAATGTTGTGTCGTCGACAGCCGGCCTCCAAAGTCTTCTCTTTACAGCGTCCCACCATTAGCCCCGCGGGCTTCCTCCTGCTCGCTGACCTCTGGGTGTCGCTCGATGGCATGGCTATGGAATGTGCAGGCAGCGCGACTACTCCTGGGCCCACGGGCCAGAAGGGGTCCAGGATCGCGAGCTTGAGTAGATTTGACAGAGAAGCCGTGCCAGCCCCGACCTCTCCCGCGGCGGAGCGGGAAACTTGCCACGCGATGGGTTTTTCACAATGGAGCACCGCCGTAGAACGTCGTCAGCTCGTTAGTCCTCGCTCGTCCGTGCGCAGCCCGGCTAACCCATCCCGCAGCTCAGCGCGGATCACGTGGGCTCGCCCGCAGAGCCGGGCGGTTAATATCTCAAAGCCCCTCCCGTTAATTCTTGAACAACCCCCTCTCGTGCGTGTGTGTGTGCAGTACGGCAAGCCGATCCCGCAGCTGAGCCTGGCACGTGTGGGCTCTGCGAGCCAGACAGGCCGGCGCTCGGCCAACGAGGACCGCTGGAGTGTGGGCGCCGTAGACGGCACGGTGCTGTACTTCGCCGTGTACGACGGGCATGGGGGCGCCTACGCCGCCGAGTTCTGCGGCGCGCACATGAAGCGCTGCATCCGGTAACGACGACCCCTCCCCTCCGCCACACCCAGCACCGGATCCTGGGGAGGGCGGGGTGGGGTGGGCCCTGGTGCCGACTGCTCCCCCCTTTAGAACCCTAAGTTCTTGCAGTAGGGGGCGATCACTGCTGTGTATATAGCACCATTGAGTAATTTGCGGTGTAACTTTTCTAAATTTGGATCGGGATGCCCGGCACACATTGGCCAACTCGTTCGGATGTTAACTACCTCGCCTGGTATACAGGAGGTCGTGGGTTGGATCCCGACCTTCACACCTGTTGTATATTTGTGTTTGCATGTTCTTCCCGTGGTCGCGTGGATTTTTCTCCTCCGGGTCCTCCGGTTTTTCCCTCTATGTTTAGTATAAAAAAGCATTTCAAATATTTGGCTGCCAAAGATTTCCACGTGATAAGCCACTATGTTGAGCTATCATTTGAGACAAGGTTGCTTCTGATAAAGAGCCTTATAACTCAGTAGGTCTTACCTGGTAAAATCAAACATCGTTTCTCGCTTAGTTTTTAGTTTAATGCTCATTGCCAAGCAGACGGCACACATCTGTATAAATACACACCGTGTTATTTACCGGGGCAGCCTGTTAGATCCAAACCTCGGACCGATACCGAGGCCCGCGTTTGCGCGACGCAGGCACCTGGTGGAGCAGGAGGAGGACCTGCAGGTGGTGCTGCGCCGGGCGTTCCTGCAGGTGAACGAGGAGTTCACGCTCGCGGCCCGTGCGCCCGGCAACGGTGAGGAGGAGCCACCTCGCGGGCCCCGCTCGTCACACGGGCTCCAGGCGCAGTCATTCGAATAGCAACAACAATAATCTCTGCTTCTTGGTTCTTTCGGTAAAGTCACGTAGAAGGGAAGTATTAAAATAATAAAAATAAAACACAATAAAATAATTCTCACGACGTTTCGGCCAAAACGCAAGCAGCCGTCCTCAGGTGAAAACCAGGTCCGTCGAGGCGACAGAGTCTGAATGTGAGAATGGTTTTATTGTGTTTTATTTTTATTATTTTATTACTTCCCTTCTACGTGACTTTACCGAAAGAACCAAGAAGATGAATCCCTGCAGTCACGAAAGCTTTAAATCAAAAAATAATCTCTGCGTTTATACGGAAAATCAAGTTGCCTTGCGTCGCAAATCGACGGATGTAGCTTGGGGGGGGGGGGGGCGGGTGGGGGGGGGAGTCCTTCGCCCATCAATGGATCGATCGTGGCTGATTTGACGTCGACGACGATCTTCTTACTTTAATTCACGTATCCGTGCGAAATTGACTCTGGCGACAGAGGCTCTGCTTCCGTGCGGCACCACGGCCACGGTGGCGCTGCTGCGCGACGGCGTGGAGCTGGTGGTGGGCAGCGTGGGGGACAGCCGCGCCATCCTGTGCCGACGCGGGTTGTCGCGCAAGCTCACCGAGGACCACACGCCCGAGCGCCGTGACGAGAAGGAGAGGTACCGCTTCTCCCCCCCACCTCTCCGCCGCTGCTCCCGCCCTGTCTGCGGCCACCAGAGGTCGCAAATGGGTTTTGATTCCTTACCCGTACCCGGCCACACCAGGGTCGCAAATTGGTACCCGTACCCGGCCGGGTATGGGTACCCGTACGCTACCCGTACCCTACCCGAAATGAGTGACAAACGGTTACTCTCCGGTGACTCACGGCCTACCCGTACCCGTACCCGGCCGCACCAGGGTCGCAAACGGGTACCCGTACCCGGTCGGGTATCGGGTAGGGTACGGGTATCGGGTACCCGGTTGCGACCTCTGGCGGCCACCCTCCTTCTAGCTGTTGCTGTAGTAGAGCAAGTCCGTCGCGAAGGAAGGCGCCGCTGTTGCTGTGTTTGACAGGCGCAGGCTGCTGCGGTTTCACAGTAAGGGGGCGATGTTGCACCTGCAAACGCACTTTAGTAATTGGCGGGTAATTTTTGGGATTTTGCCAAAAATTTGGACAGTGACGCCAGCACACGGGCCTGTTGTTTTCGAATGAGATCAGGATCTGTAGCATCCAGGTTAAGCTTGAAACCGAACCAAATGCGATGTTTTTTTTTACATGCAGACTGAGCTGAGACCTCCAACTAGCTGCACATTAGAATCCGGTTTAATCGTGGGCGGTTTCCTGGATTTGAACTCCGGTTCTCAGCAGTGCTGGGCCGGCGCTGTGACACGGTGCAAGCTGCAAGAAATAACAATTTTGAGAAATGGCAGCTGGGAGGAAAAATGTTTTCATTTTGGGCAGAGACCACATTTCCTGGATCAAGAGCGCGGGTTTATCCGGCTGGGGCCTCTGGGTGCGCTGTTTGTCCTGGGCTCGGAGGGTTTGTATGAAATCGGTGATGTCATTACAAAGCAAGCCGAACGCCTAAGCAGAGGAAATGAAATGACAGATTGTGACACGGACACACACGCACATGGGTGTATATGAAACGTGTGCGCGTGTGCGGGACAGCCGGGCTCCGTCTGTTACGCTGGGGAGTAAAAATAACCCAACAACCCCGGCCTTCCCGGGAACTGAACCAGTAACAACATTGGCAATTTTGAGCATGGGCCGAAAGACCCAAGATGTCAAGTGGCCAGCAATAAACGGCACCATCGCAGTTGTAATAGACAGGAGTGTAACACGCTTTTGAATGATAAGAGTTTGCGACAAGAGACGATGATAGAAGGGATTCTAGAGTGGAGCAGTGCGTGGGAAGAAGAAGAAAGGTAATGCGAATCGGCTCATCATCCCTCCGGAGTTGTTAAAACGAGTACCACTTTGTGCGAAAGACCGACAGCGGTTGTTCTATGGAGAGACTCCGCCCCCACCATAGGATTGTGCAATTTTCACCGCTGGCTCTTCAGGGCTTTAAACAGGAGGTGAGCACAAATGGTTCAACGTTCATTTGAGCAGCTGAAGATCACTTGGACTCGGATGGATGGATGGGAGAGCTCTTTCCTCCCCTCACGCTTTGTGTTACCGTGGCGGCGCAGGATCCAGAAGTGCGGAGGCTTCATCGCGTGGACGAGCTTGGGCCAGCCGCACGTCAACGGGCGTCTCGCCATGACGCGCAGCATCGGCGACATCGCCCTCAAGGCCGTGGGCGTCACGGCCGAGCCGGACACGCGCCGCATCATGGTCGCCGCACGCACACACACCGCACGCACACACGCACGCACACACGCACACACGCACGCACACACGCACGCACGCACACCGCACGCACTGCGTATACACTGGGAAAAAATAATTCGACACGTTCGTCAATAAACAATGGTCCTTTGTCACAGCATGTAAAATGTGCTATGATGGAATGGCTGCCACACACGACCTGCCTATGGACTCTGTGGAGGACTCATTGTACTCCTGGGTGGACAGAGGATGGGGTGGTCGGGGGGGGGGATGCAAGGGGTTAAGAAACTTGCAGTATTGTTTCACCTGCTGCGCCGGGAGATTGAATGGAATCGGCGACCTCTGAATTGCAATTCCAGTTTGCTGCTCGCCCTTCCAACCGCTGTGGCAGCTGCCACCTCCAGCTGGAGGACTGGAGGAGGCCGCGACTCGAAGGCTTGTGGCGATGCGGGCGACGCTACTCCGTACGGTCTACTGGAGTCGTCCCGTCGCGGTTGTCCGTGGTTATTTTTGTTTCCCGGCTGGCGAGAAACCCTCCGTGTAAAATTGACTCTTTTTTTTTTTTCCCCCGCTGTAGCTGAAGCACGGGGACGACGGCTTCCTGGTGCTGACGACAGACGGCATCAACGTCATCATGAACAGCCAGGAGATCTGCAACATTGTGAGCCAGTGCAATGAGCCCTCCGAGGCTGCCCAGCTGGTCGGTGAACAGGTACGGCGCGAGCGTCGGCCACCCGGAAGCGCGGACACTAAACTAAACAATTTGTATTTTAAACTATAAACTATTGTTATTTTACTTTACCTGGTATAAGGCCCCCTGAGCTGTATAGCTCTTTTTCAGAAGCAACTTGGCCACAAATTATAGCTCAACGAAGTGGCTCATCGCGTGGAAATGTATAGCAGCCAAATCCTCTTAAATGCGTTTTTATCAATGTGGAGGGAAAAACCGGAGGACCCTGAGAAAAATCCACGCAGCCACGGGGACAGAGACACGCAAACTCGAAATATACAGCAGGCGTCGGGGTTGGGATTTTGAACCCACGACTTCCTGTATACCAGGTGAGGTAGTTAACATCTCACTCATGCGATCCGCAAACGATGAGAAATCCCAACCCAGGAAAAACGTCACCGCCGGGATAAAGTTCTTTGGGATTCGTCGCTAAAACCCCGTTTGGAGCCCGGGACCTCAACACTGCTGCTGGCTCGGCATCTCTCTGCAGCTGGATTGGTGGCCCCTGACCCCCGCGTCTGAGAGTTGTTCCATTGTTTATGTAATCTATCACTCTACAGATGACATGCGCCATTGCTAAACTAATCAGATATTATGAATATCGTTGGGGGCGGAAGGTGGGAGGGGGGGAGGGGGAAAACGTGTGACCTCTCTTTCCACGTGTGTCGCTGGATGGGAGGTGAATGGATATCGTCAGCAGGGTGTCTGTTATGCGGGCCCCGATTTATTAAAGAGGCCGAGAAATCAACCACAGAAAAGTCGCCCTGTGGCCGCACAGGGACCGCTTTCACCGTTTCCTAGGAGATGTGACGCTGCAAGTCACTTGCCGCGTGTCAAGCGCTCCGAGCCGCCCCGGCGCAAAGCAAGGCACTTCATCAACAACAATTCGCTCGCTCACCGCTGTTATGACGATGGCGATGTTGCTGCTGCTCCTCGACTCGCCGTGACAGCGCCGTGTCCCCTGTGGCGGTGTGCATGACGCAGGCCATGCAGTACGGCTCGGACGACAACACGACGGTCGTGGTGGTGCCGTTCGGCGCGTGGGGCAAGCACAAGGGCGCTGAGGACAGCTACTCGGTGGGGCGCACCTTCACCTCCAGCTGGCGCTGGGCGTGACGCTGCCGCCAGGCACCGGGCACCCGGCAGCCCCCCCCCCCCCCACGGCCCCCAGGGCTCACGTAGCGTTGAAGGGAAGTCCGCCGTTCGACGGAGATTTTAAAATATCGTCTGTTTCCGCGAGTTATTTTTTTAACACAGGACAATTTTCCCGTACGTGCTCTGTGTAAATATCAAACGTCGCACTTTTTACATTTTAGGAAGTACACAATCTTTCTTGCACTTGTTTTGATTTAATTTTGCTGCTTGTTCTCAAACAGAAGCTCAATTTTTGTTTTGTTTTACGAACCGGGGGTCGGAGCCATGGCGCTGTGAACTCTGCGATCTGGGTTCAATTCCCAGCCAGTGCTGACATCGGTGGCGAGCGATATCTCAACCGGCCCGCACTGACCAGCACGGCGATGTTATGGTCACATGACCGTCGTCAGAGGCAGAGCGTGGGGAGGCCTTCATCCAGCAGTAGATTGATAACGGAATGAGAACCGTATATTATTGGCTAATTTAATGATCAAAACCGGCCAAATTTGCAACGGTCACGGAGCTCGTTGAGCACGATGCATCTCTTCGATAGGACCTCGTAAAACAGCTGGCAAAATCGCGACGGTCATCTCAATGGCAGGGGGGCGGCTGTTACGTCAGTGGTGGCAGTTTGTACAATAGTGGCGTGTGTGATGCAGCACTGAGGGACGGTTCTCTTTTCAATTACCAGTTCACCTAATAAATAAATGCGTTGCAGAATGGGGGTCGCGAAACAGCGGCTTCCGGGTGCTGCGAGTGCGGCTCACTGTATGCGCAGACGCGTTGAAACCTCTCGGAGCAACTTGAATTGAAACGGGAAAAAATCTGCGGAAGCGGCCCGGGTCACTCGCCCCTTTGCAGCGAAGCCAGATGCAAGTACTCTGGGGGCGCTCCCGCCAATTTCCAAATGTAAGAACTCCATTTCCACAGCGGTGCGAGAGAACCGGCCACGTGGCCCGCTCGGCGCACGCACCCCCGGTGTGTCTGTCGCTAGCGCCGGAGAGACATGTTCTAGTGCACGCGTGTCATGTGGCGCCCGGCCCCGTTGAAGGTGTTGGTTTGGCGTAGGGCAGCGACGGGCAACCCAGACGTGGGCCACCAGCTTGACATCGTGCTTGTCCGCTAATCGTGACCCCCACGCATTGCCCCTAGACACGCTGAGACTAGGCCACCACGAGGGGCTCCACGGGCCGCAGGTTGCCCATCACTGGCGCTGCGCCAGGAGGTTTGGCCACCCCTGGTCCCGACCGTGAATGTGTGCCGCGGGAGCCGACGGAACCACTGTACCTCGGAGCACATTGACAACCTCGACGCACAAACACTCCGAAGCACAGCTGCGAGTTGGATAGGTGGCATTTAAATATGGAAATTATACAAAACTGTAACCGTACAGTTAATTCATGCGTGGCTTCACGGGGTTAGGCTGAGCGTCGAGAAGAAACGCTCAACGGGCGGCCGACACTCGCGTTACAAGCGGACGCGTTCAGTTCCGAATGTGTTCACTCTTCTCAAGCGGTACCGTACAGTGTTTATATATTCTGATGTGTTTGTACGGTAAAGTGATAGTTGGCGCTTTGTACGCCGTCTTGAGCCGGCTGCGTGTGCACGATGTAAATAGTGACGCCGTGGCGTTCAGGCGTCGTCGGCGTACGGCTCTGCGGGCTCGCCTCGCAGCAGCCGAACCTTCTTGTAAATATCCGTCTTGGTGGCGGTTGACGATGCTGGCCTCGCCCGGTGACCATCTTTGTAGTCTGCGTTGTACATTAGCCGCAGGAAGTCGCACGGCAGCAGCGCTGTACGTACTGTAGTGTCTCGGCCGGGCTGCAGATCCCCTGCACCTCTGCAAGGGACACGCGGCCAATTGGGTTTTCTTAACAGCTGTGAAAATATTTAACAGAGAACCAATTAAGACTTAATACGTTTGGCGGGCGACCATACGTTCACACAGCTCAGTCACTGCAAGATGCCCTCGCAGTGGCACAAGTGGCTGAGCGCATTACAATTTGGTACGCAGTGTTGCTAAGTTGACAAGATTCCCTCCTCTCGTTGCCCGATTAGTGTGGCTAGGATGTTAGTAATTATAGATGAATATTGTTTGCAGGCTGTGTTTTAAGTGGTAGGCCAAGGGATGCCACTTGTGCGGGTGTGACCCGGGCAGCCCAGGAATTAGCGCGTGTGTTCGGGTGGCAGCAGGATTTACTTTGTGCCAAGATCTGGAAGAGGGGTGTTGCTGTGTTGGGCTTCACTGCAGGATGTTGCACACTTCTGCTAGACTTGGGCTGACCGAGGAATCCATCTGGGTTTATCCTGCGGAAGAGGTTGTCCCCATGCGGTTGTGAGCAGTGTGAAGCCAAGTTGCGGGCCTGCTGTTCCTGTGCCCGGGTGAACAACGATTACCTTGCTGCAATGGAAACCGCAAATCATCTCCCATTGTGACCGGCCCCCAGAAGTGGTTCACAAACTTGTATCCCTGTGTGTCTGCCCAACTCTTAGTCTTGATTTTGATGTACGTACTGATCTCGATTATTTATTCACGTGAAATGTAGATGTATGTACATTGTAGACCCGTGTTATATAGGTGTCCGTGTACATTTTTACTGTAAGAAACAGATGGAGCACTTTTCCTCTTGTCAAATGTCGCCGCCGTTGCGATCTGCGAGTGGCACTCGTGGGCGGCTGAGCGGAGAGCAGATGCTGGTGGAAGTGATCGGGCTGGCACGTTACAGCAGTGACTTAACCTCGACATGAAACAAAGTCTGGAGATGCGCTGTGCAAAACATCGATTCATCTCCATTCTAAAAGCTCGCAAAGTGTGCTGCATTGAGTGGTGGACTTACACATTTATTTGGTTGGATTCCTCAAGGCTCGCTTGCTTGTAATGGGTTCCTATTGCAAGTAACTGGTTGGATGCTACACTCGGCACAATGTAAAAAAAATAATCGGTGATAATTGCGAATAAAATCGTGATAGTTCATTGGATAACAACGGTGACCTGGAGCATGGCGTGGGGTTCAATTGCTCCCCCCCCGCCCGCCCCTCACCCAGTGAAGGAGGAGCGTGCACAGAGGAGCTAATTCTACTTTGTTCTTCAAGTGGCCTCTGCCACTTTCCGTCAGCCTCAGCCGAGCCACGTGTCCACGGCAGCCGCCACGCACGCACCCGTGATCCGTGACCAGCGGTGGGGGCGCGCGCGTGTCGGTATGCGCGGTGGCGGCGCCACTGCACAGCCCGAGGCCACCTGAGCGACATCGTACAACCACGGCCCCAGCTGCTGCCCTTGGGAGTTTGCCTCTCTGTTTTCATTTTGTACAGTACTCTGTTTGGATCGCACGCGCGGCAGCAGTCGTTACTGCTCCTTGCTGCAAACTAAAGCCCTCTCGCAGGGCCAGGTGCCGAGCCAGCTTGTGCCGCACAGGGACAGCTGCTGCCGTGGGTCTCCTAGGCAAAATCGCTCGTGAATCATCGCTCCCCCCCCCTACTGGCAGATTAACGCCCACTCGCAAGCCAGGTGCTGAGCCAACTTTTGTAGCCTGTGCCGCACAGGGACAGCTACCACAGGCTGCCACTGCGGGTCACCTAAGCAAAACCACTCGGCAATCATTGACCTCCCCCCCCCCCCCCCCTTACTGGCAAACTCACGCCCGCTCGCAGGCCAGATGCCGGAGTCACCTTGTGCCGCACAGGGACGGCTGCCACTGGGTGTGCCCTTTCGAGACGTGTCGAGGTGAGAAGTGATGCGAATTCGCTCGACGCGCGTAAAGAGAGACGCTCTGGAGACGCCGCGGATGACTTTGCGTCGTGTGTCGGGTGGTGCTTTCGGTTCGGCGAGACGGAACTGGATGCACTTCTTTGAGGACTGCTGTTGTGGGGTTGTCCAAGGCATCGTTTCTGGTGGCCCTGGAATTAAACACGAGTCGCGTCACAATGCAAGACGACGGTGTCATTTGCATGCATTGTGGGTTTTTGTTTTATCCCCATTCACGTCGTGATTTTTTTTTACTGCGTTGGAACCCGGATCGTAGTGCATTGTTGGAGGTTGTTATTGCGTGAGTTCTGTAATGTTCGCGTGGCTTCATTGAGTGCGTTACTCAAGTGGTGCTGTAGATTATGTTGCAATATTGTTTGCTCACTATCCATTAAACACGCACAGTATTCATATCTATACAATTGAGTCCATCTCACTGATAAATGAACATGTTTGTGCATGGTCGTCACCCATCCAAAGCACACTCCAGGCTCCACCCTGCTGAGCTCTCGAGGTTTGACGGAATCGGGGTGCATTCCGGGTGAATCGTGTCGTGGGTTTCCGCCCGTTTTGGAGGAATCGGCGGTCCCAGTTTGGGCAGTGGCTGCACATCAGAAGTTCCACGATCGATATGTGCAGAGGATGTCTGCAGGAACGATCATGCAAAAACTCACCCCCCTCCTCCAAGAAAACACATTCCTGCGGAGGGAGCTGGTAGGAACGTTGGGTTGCTCGGTCAATGGCCAGGGTCAACGGCGGCGTGGTCTATTCCGCGGGCACAAGCCGGCGTGAGAAGGTTAAACGTTGAGTTTTATAAGGGCACCACGGGGTGACCAGCCCCTCCCCACCCTCCCCACCCAGCCCCCCCTCCCCTCCCCACCCAGCCCCCCCTCCCCTCTCCACCCAGCCCCACCCTTCCCATTTTTGGATGCATGACGGACGGACGGATACAATAATCCCCTGTGGGCTGGTGTAACCAGGAGGTTCCTACCAGTAAAATAATTGGCCTAACATCCCAATGCTTGGCGAACCTGAATAAAAAGTTCAGATTCGGCAGGACTTTCCTGGCAAAACAAGCATTTATAAAAATAAATAAAATCCCAAAATAACCTGGGATTCTCACAGCCACCGTGACGCCACCGTCACCTCCGCGAGGGCCTTTAATCGCCGCCTCCTGTTGCTGCACGCGTGACCTTCGCGTGGGGCGATGACGACGACGACGATTCAAAAACAACACCGCGCCCTGGCCTGGCTCCCGAACAGCAGCGCCGCCAAGCAGCGAACACCCCGGGACTGGAGCTCGGGGCTTGCTGCTGGGATGGTGTCCCGTGACAACAACAGCAGTTTGTCCTTTGGATAGACTCGCCTCCGCCATAGGAATGTGGAATTTTCCACCACGGACTCGGGGCTGTAAACTTGTGATGAGCACTACCTCATCGATGCTCGCTTTTGACAAACAACGTGTGTGGTGGTGATGCTGCTGCTGCTCCTGCGTTGGTGGTGGTGAGTGCAGAGACGACTCAACTCTCTCCGTGTCAATAACACTGCCCCACGAAGCCGTAGCCTGGAACAATGCCATACTCTCCCCGAGAGTAACAAAGGGTGGTCACTCAAACCCTCTCGATGTGCTGGAGTGGGGGGTGGGGATCGTCTCTTGCCCGAGGGATCGCCTATTGAATTACTTAGACCAGGGGGTCGGAAACCTTTCAAAGAAGTGGCGGTTTTTTTGTTTTGTGTCTTTGGACAAAATTGTTCGAGAGCCGCGTCACGCACACAGAGCTACTTGTACACAAACACAGCAGCAGCTATATAGCAGATGACAAACACATTCTGACTTAAATAAAAAATATAAGTGATGGAATAAACTGCGTTAATTTAGTTAATTTCCCCCCCTTAATATATTATTTAACAATACAGTTTGACTGTTGTACACTTTTGTTGTCGCCAATATATTCAATAGTGACCCATTCCCAGCCATATTTAACAAATTACCTTATACTTTAAATTACGTTTAACATTTAATGTTTTATTGTAACGGATGCCTGCAAGGGGGACAGACAAAGAACCACATGCGGCTCCGGACAGGGCCGTATCATTAAATAGGCACAGTGCCTACGAAAACTAAAGGCCACACGAAAAACGATTTTGACCATGTTTTTGTTGTATGATTAAAAATAACTTTTTTAAACCAAGATCTCTTCCTGAATAAATATTTCTGTAGCAATAGGCACAGTGTATATACAAAGATGCATACTCATTTCGATGTCAATCGTTTTTTCCATAAGGTGAGAGAGAAATGAACACTGCAGATGAACTTTTAGAGATTTTTTTCATTTAAAATTAGGATTTTTTTTTGCACAATCAAGCGAGTGACTTCTGCGGTAGTAGTAACATGGGACAGCAGCAATACCAATTAGATACATATATCACTAACGGCCTACAACAGGGGTGTTCCCATTTGGTTATTTATAACATTCGCGGGCCATACAAAATTATCAACTTAAAAATTTGCCTGTTATATTTGGTCAAACATTTAATTAACTCGCCCCTAATGTGATGGCTGGAACTGCTTCTCTTTGGCGAGGCGTGTGATGTTAGCTGGTATTGATGTTGTTGCTACTCGCAACTGCGTTTCCAGGTTTGCTCCTAGATTTATTGAATTTCGAGTCCTGCGGTTGCCTTGGCAGGGCCACACCAAATGATTTCGCGGGGCTCGTACGGCCCGCGGGCCGGACGTTCCCCACCCCTGGCCTACAAGAACCTTGATCCATCGCTGGCTCTCCGGAGCCGCAGCTTTGCCGACCCCCTTGGACTTTAGACCATCGGATGTTCGGTCACCAGGTGTCGGGGAGTCGGGGGCCTGTAGTGACACAGCAGTGGCGGCAGGTGGCGCTGGCAGTGCGCGCGCGAGTGGCGGGGGCATCACGGCGGTGAGGAGGGGAGGAGGGGGGTCGTCCCTCCAACTCCAGTTATGAAACAACAAAAAATTAACCCGTAAAAACAAAGTTTTTTTTACTATAAATCCTTTATATGCGTGGCATCGGTTTTATTTATTATTAATTTCTATTTTTCTTGAGTAAGAGTTTCATTTTTATCACATTGGTATTTTAAATTAAATATGAAAAAAAAAAATTCCTAAAAAGTGGAAAATGTAGGAATTTTTTTTCACGAAAATAAATTGTCACGCACAACGAGTCTGTGTGCAAAATGTCAGCTCGATTGGATCACGGGAAGTGGGTTAAAAAACGACCGAAAGATTTTCACGGTCGTAAGCGCACAAGCAAGCAAGCAAGTGAACTTAATATAAAGGATTTAAAAAGAGACGAGATGTGAGCGTAAACATTTCGAATGGACCTGAAGTGTGCCGCGTTAGCTTTAGTGTGTGCGTAGCAACCGAGTTCATGAATGCGCGCCCAGTGGGTTTAACGATTTCACGTCGCACCCCTTGGGTGTGCCTCTCGGTCCAGAGGGAACATTGTCAGCCTGGGTTAGTGCAGAGGAACCCCCAACAGCAGATGCCCCCCCCCCTTCCCCACAGTGCTAGAGAGACGTCGAGCACCGCTCGAGTGAAGGGGGTGTGGACCCCCCCCCCCGCCCACAGTGCCCCTGTCAATGCCCCCCCACCCAGAAATGTACCTGGACCCCCCCCCCCCCCCCCGAATCAAAACCGCCATCTCATCGTCTATAACTAAGCACACGTCCACTGACGTGTCTACGTTTACGGGGTCTGTTACATTATTTTCTTATACAGTAGTTACATCTTTGGCTACCTTCAAGTCATTTGGAAGACCTCAGCAAATCGTGTTGAGTCGACGTTTTTGCTAATGTGGACTACATTGCACTAACGCGTGTACATGTCGAGGCCTGCAGCCCTTGTTGTTGGCTCATAGCTGTGAGGATATACCGGGTCGCACAGCAGCACGAGGTGAGAGCGGTGAGTCCGCACGTGGCCAGCGCCATTATTTTATTGACCACTTCCATCCGCGCCTCTTTCCCGCACTGCGCACTCGTCTCAGTCGCGGTGTTGGTAAGCCCACAAGCTCTAACCCCGAGCCAAAAAATGAGTAAAAAAACAAACATCGCTTGAGAGCTTCTTTGAAGAGGGGGAAAGACCCAATGATGACCCCCCCCCCCCCACCTGGTCCATGAAAAAATTGTCTTCCACGAAACCGGTCCCTGGTGCCAAAAAGGTTGGTGAGTGTTATTTTTTTAATTGCTTATGCCTATAAAGAATAGAAAATGGCTATTATTCCCCACAAACTTTGCTTTTGTGACTAGAACTTTACGTGAAGGAATGACACAAATGCACACCACGTTTTCTCATTGAAAGTAGGTACATTTCAAAATTAATAATACAGGTTTTTGGGTTTAGATCGCGTTATTTATAAATGTGTCGCAACCCTCCACCACCCGACACGGCCAATCAGTAAAAAAAGTGTCAAGTTGACAGAAGAAAAAATAGTTCACTACTTTAGCCCACCGGTGTGTTGAAGAGTGAATCCACAACATTAAAAAAATTTGAGTAGTACGACGTTTCGCTGGTAATTACATCCAGCATCATCGGGCAATTTGCCATAATAGTGAAGCCCTCCATCTGCTCCCTGTCTTAAATAGAGCAGCAGGGTGACGTCATCATTTAACCCGATCCGGTGCAAAGATCAGAGGCGGATAGGGGGGGGGGACTTTAGACACCGGTGGGCTAAAGTAGTGAACTATTTGTCTTTTGGGCCCGTCCATAAATGACGTCACGCGATTTTGGACGATTTTTGACCCCCCCCCCCTTCGTCACACGGCGTCACAAAAACTCAACCCCCCCCTCAAATATAACGTCACAAAGCTCTGCCCCCCCCCCCCAAATGAATAAAACATGCTTCAAATCGCTTTAAACTATTGTCATTGTAGTGCGTATTTAATGTGGCGCTGCACTCTGATGTTGTAGGAGAAAACATTTATTAAAAAGTCTATTTAATTAAGTAGAACGTGTTGTCTATATGTATTTAAAGTTGCACATTTTGATGTGACGTCACATTTATCAAACTTGGTAGACGTATGCCATATTGATGACACTATTACATTATATAATAAAAAATATATATATTTTTTAAACATTCTTTTTTATGTTACGTTTCGGCTTGGCTCTAATTGTCCAGGTCAACTGACGTTGGCTGTAATTGGCCACGGTCCCTTACGTGATGGCAAGCTTCAAGGCCACTTCCTGGAGTCGTGGAGTTCTGCCATTACTAGTACGGTGCATTTCATTAAAGCGTGTTTTTTTAAACATAAAGAAAGTAATGTTTAAAAATATGTTTATTTTTAAATTATAGAATATAGTATTGCCATCAGTATGACATACGTTTACCAAGTTTGCAGTCGATACCACATTGGGAAGTGGGTTAAAATTGAGTT